CAACTTTATCAATACCACTCCTGCTGTCACTGTTGGCACACTTCTGTGAGCTAGCTGTGGCAGGACTTGTACTTGTTGTAGCCAAAGCTGGCTTGGTTGGTTTGGACATTGGATGCACCTTGGGGTTGCTACGGAGCTAGACCAGTGGATCCTCTAAGATTCCTAAGAATCGATAGCACTCAAAGTGTCTATCTGTGCTTGGGTAAGCAGGCTCCTGCCTTGGGAAGGCTTGCAATCCAGTCTCACGTCGTTGTGTCGACTGGCGTGCAATGAGTCCAAAACAAACCTTGGAAGTAGATGCTCGGCATCCCGCTTGGTGGCGAGAAGCTGAGCGGTGGGGACGAGACAATACGGACATTGTCATCATCAGAAAAGTCTTTGTGGCTGGCACTCCTGCTGGGAGTGGTGCCACTCCTGGAAGACTGGTGTCGGATGATACCGTCACTTGGTGTACCTGCGGCTCAGACTGGGAAGTTCGGCTGCATTGACACTTGATGGGGCTGGAAGCCCTTCGTAGATGGAAGCTGGTTGAAGCTTCTGGAAGTCGTAGACTGGTGGGAAGTGATGCCCTATTGGAAGGTGCATGGAAGCTGGAAATGATGTAGCTTGGAAGTCACGGACTTGTTGGGTTCGGCTGAACCTAGTTCTTGGATGGTCTCGATGTCTGAAGATGGAATGAGGAAAAGGTTGAGTTATTGTTTCCTCTTGTCATGGTTGTTTATACTCATGTGAGACTCGCGACTGCTGGTGTCGTCACTTGTGGTGACTGGTGCCGTCACTTGGTACACTTGGTACCGTCATTTGGTGTTGCCGTAGCTGAGACTGGGAAGTCAGGCTATAGCGACACTTGTGAGAACTGTTGTAGTAGCTGGAACTAGGAGGAAGTTCCTTGCCACAATGTTACTCTGAGTTGGGGCTGGAAGCCCTTGGAAGTTTGGAAACTTGTAAGGAAGTATTCGGTAGTAGTTGTGGATGCTCCAACTTGATGGGCTCCACTGGACCTGGACGTGTCACGGTCGATGATGGTTCGATGGTGATGTAGTCGGTAGATCCTTTGGTGGGTGATGCCACTGCTCTTACACTCCTGTGAGTTGGCTGTGGCAGGACAAGTGTTGGTTCTGTCACTGCTCTTACACTCCTGTGAGCAGGCTGTGGCAGAACTTGTAGTCGTCCATAGTTGGATCTGTTGTAGGCTTGATTTGATGTACTTACGTACTTCTGTTGTTGGTGTGAGACTAAGGTTGGTTGCAATCTCTGTACAGTAGTTGCAGTGGAGCTGAGGTGTGCACCCTCTTGTTGTTTCTTTTGATCAGGTTCCCGCTTGTGGGTCAAACTCTGTCTGCTCCAGCCATCCTGTGGCTTGTTACCTTGTCTTGTGAACTCTTGAGTTGCCTGTAGCTAGCTACTCGGTTCAACGTTCACTGTCGTTCTGCTCTTGTTGCAGTTGCCGTTATTGTAGATGCAATTCGAATTTGGTTTGGTCGATTCATTGTAATCGGTTTGGTAGTGGTAGATACCGTTGTTGGCTGTTGTTGCCATCGATGCTGGCTGTTGATGTAGCCATTGATGGTTGTTGGCCGTGTAGTTGTGGCCATTGATGGTTACGGCATTGCCTATAAAGGCGGATGTTATGATGATTTTGTTTGTAGGATTGTAGGTTTTGGATTTGGGTACCCTCACACTCCTGTGCACTTGCTGTGATCAAATAGCAAGGGCATGGTCTTGTATTGGTATCTGTTGTTGCCTACCTAGAGGCTGTTGTTGCCTCAGGTTTGCCTGTAATTGGTGGAGGAAGTGCTGTGTTTCAGTTGCACAATACACTTTCCATTAAAGGTAGTAGGAGGTGCTGTGGCTGGGTTGCCACAATACACACTCCATGAAAGGGGTAGGAGGTGCTGAGTGCAAACTCAATACAACTCCAAAGAAAATTATGCAATGCTGGGGCGGATGCACTCCTGTGCTTCCTGTAGCTCTGCACTGCACCAGTAGCGCTGGTGCTGTTGGCTAGATAGCTAGCTAGCTCTCTGCATTGCTGGTGTACCAGACCCCAGTACAGTACAGTAGCTGTATCAGCATCTCGCTCGGAAGCTTGGCTGTACGGAGAGATCTGTACGGAGAGATCTGTCGATCTGGCTCCGTACACTCCTGGAAAGATACCTTTCACGGAAAGATACCTTTTCCCGTTCACTGGCGTTTTTCTTGTGGTGCTCGCTGAACTGCAGGCTGTTCTTTGCCGTTCCGTGGCTGGAAAGGCTTCACACAAACCACAAATTTTCTTGTTTTCCGCGTTGGCACTTCTTCTGCTGCCAACACTCCTTATTGTTGTCACTGCTGTTGCTATCGGTATCAACAACCGATGGCTTTAGCCGTAGCGGTAGCAACTGGCTAGTGGTAGCCGTGGTCGTTGCTCGTCTTGTTGTTGTTCGTCGCTGGCAGTAGTAGCAGTGGCTTCGGCCTTGCGATGCTGGCAGTAGTAGCAGTGGCTTCGGCCGTTCGATTGCTCGTTGGCTGCTCTTCTTGTTGTCACCGTAGCGGCAGCTTCGGTCGTTGGATGCCGATGCTGTTGCTTGCCGCCACTGTTGTTTGTCAATGGCAGTAGCGAACTCTTGTGTTCTTCTTGTTCTTGTTGACAGTAGTAGCGATCGTTTGATCGCTTCGGTCATCTTGTTCTTAGTGTTGGTTGGTGGAAATTACAAAATTTGCAAATTCGCTCTTATTCAGCCTGTTGCCGATAGATGCAACTCGTTTCCTGTTGCATTTGAGGACTTGCACTCTTCAGGGCCTGTCACTGACAGTATAATAGCCCACTTCTGTGTATGACAGTCCTTCCGTAGGACCTGTCGTTCTCGAGTAACCGGCCTGGCAATTTGGCTGGTTTCGTGCCGCTGGAGGTCTTGCACCTCTCCTCTAGTAGCCTCTTTCGATGGCTCTCTTGTTGAGGATAGGAACACTCCCACGGAAGTACCTCTGTGGTACTTATCGCTTCCTGTTGGAACTTGTTATCTTGTTTCTCTTCCGTGGCGACACCACAAGCCTGCAGGCTTCGTATCGTACGACCACAGTGTATCTCTGCTCACCTCGTACGTAGCCGACTCGTCGTGGTAGTAGCTATCTAGATAGCTGGGTCTTGGCCACAACTCTTGCACAACTGGTACGTCGTGCGATGAGCCTTCTTCTTGTAGTTGGTTCGTATCAGCACTGGGATATTTTATCTCCAGTCATACGACGGCTGTGTTGCGCAGCGCAAAGTCTTGGTCTTCGTGTCTTCGTGGCAACCTCTGTCGCCACTCCTGTAGTTGTTCTTGTGGCTTGCACGGTCTCGTGGTTTCCACGATTGCTGTTTCCGCAGCACAAATCTTGGGTTCTTAGAGCGTTCCTGCGCACTCCTGTGAGGTTGTCTCCTTGCTTGCTCCGGAGCTCACTCCTGGAGCTTCGTGCGCTTGCACTAGCTTGGTTTGCTCACTCCTGAGAGCTCGCTTTCGACTCACTCCTGTGAGCTCGCTGCCGGCTTGTCTTGCGCCGCAGCTCTTGTTTCATTCGATCGCTCACTCGTGTGAGTTCCTTGCTCCGTTCGTTCGAGCAATAGAAGTGGGTAGTTAGTAATGGATCTTCAAGGCGGTAAAATTGCTTGGAATTGGCAATGATTCGGGGGGGCGGGGCTTCAACTAGCCAATTCGCTCGCTTCGTTGTTTCACGGTTTCGTGATTGCCTTTTTACTGTAGGCTGTTGGTACTCTCTCAGTGACCAGAGCCCTTTTTCCTATACTACTCTGTTGAACTGTTACCTACATGGGCTCTATAGTAATAGGGTTGATTGATAGTGGATGTCAATGTCACCATGCTGACGAGAATGAACTTCGAGAGATGATACTTCTTGGAAATAGTGTTGGTTCTAGTAACACTCTAGTTTAGTAAAGGTAAAATACGTTTTACTGTTAAGCTATTTCCAAGAAGTGATCTTTCCATGTTTTCTGGGATTGATTCAACTTCAAAGGATATAGTGAAGGGGGACCATATAGATCAGTTAAACTCCCCATGTATGTAACTAGAGAATAGATAAGATATCCCTATAACTAGATTGGGAGAAACACTAATTTGTATTGAGTGTTGTAATACACCTCAACACCCTTCCTTCTCCTCCAAAGCGAAGCTCTCGTACCTGCTCCCAAAGATTCAAGAGGCTTATGGCGAGGGGGTTGCTGCCGACCAGGAGGCCTGTTTGCGAATCTTGAAATCCTCGCCTCGTTACATCTCGTGCTTGCGGAATCTGGCGAGTCTCGGGCCAACCGCTGAAGGTGATCCCCTTACCGTCGAGTTTCGTATGACGGCTCCCTTCCACATTCACGATGATCTTGTGACACAGAAGGAAGACCCCATCTTTTATGGGTTCGAAGTTTCACATGACAATGGTGAAACCAACGTTTACTTTGAGCTGAAAGAGAAAGAAAAGGAGTTCAAGCCTGTTATGATCAACGGATTGCACCCATGGTCTTCCAACCAAGCTGCTGGCAGGGCGAGGAAGGGCATGTTTCAGTTTTGGGATGTCATCCATTCCTGAAAGTGTGAGCTTTGTGTCGCCCTCAAAGGCTCATCGTAGTAGGCAGAGGTGGGGTAGCCACGAGACATGAAGATGACAGCTCCACCATCCAGACTGAAGACCAGCATGGTTCTGGTTCTGGTCGAATGGATGTTGACACCGCATACAATGCCGACGACGATGATTCGTGGGATTCGCAGCTTGGTGAAGACAGCACGACAGGACCTGGTGAATCGGAAGAGATCACAAAGTTGCGACGGGAGCTTGAGGCTATGCAGTCGATCCTCTCAGGTATTACTCAAGCCAAGTCGTTCGGCAGTGATGATGGTAGCAAGTCAGCAAAGCATGCCGGCAATCTCAAGAAGATGAAGACCAATGACGGTTATGCTTCAAGCAACTCCATTGCTGGTGACAGCAAGGCTTCTCGTCGCAGCACTGGGACTCGAGGAACCAAAGCCCGAGATGACAAACGTAAGAAAGCTGCCTCTGGTGCTGGTGATGAAGCCATTAGAAAGAAGGCTGACTAGTGGTTTTTCTCAGCCTGCTTTTGGTTGTTGTGGCAATGGATGGACAAGGCTGTCAATGCTCTGCAAGAGGTTGCTAGTGATGAGGAGCCTGTCAAGTTAGATAACAAACAAACAAACTAGTAGTGGTTGTGGACTTGAACTTTATTGCCAGATTACTAGTTTTCATGTATGTCCATTTGCGGGACCTTCCCAGTGGTCTTCCAGCTCATGGACGGCCAGTAAATATCGGTACGTATGTCCAAATAGTGTCACAATTACTGGCGAATTCGATAAGTATTGTCAAACTTATGGCAATCGAAGGCCAATAATTTCATAAATTTACAGTTTTAACAAAAAATTGATAGTCAATCTCTCGTTATTTTTGGCCCCTTGTCAGTCACTGACGTTTCTTCCAAGCTAAAGCCAGCCAAGCTATTATGCATAGCTAATTCTGAAAACGCAAGAAGGCCTCAGGGTTTTGATTGTGACCAGCTGCGTCCAAACTAAAAACTTGTGGCAGAGGTTAAAATTGTGATATTGCGCGGTGTGTGTGTCAACCGTTCATCCCTGCAGTAGGATTTGGGACATCAACGGATGCTGCTTTGATTTTTCAGCTTGGTCTTTAGCTCGTGTGTGCGTACCCACACGTCACAGTCCGAAGCTAGTATGGACAGTACGCATTCCAACGAACGTGGCGTTGAACACACAATCGAACGATGGCGATTGTGGCTAAAAGCTTCTAATTGTGAGCAGCTGCTTGAAACTTAGAGGTGCGTATCATGACTGAAGTCGCATCATCTGGACGAAGATGTTAATTAACCGAACAGATGGCCAATTGCCTGTCAAGAGCTGTGACGTTGTTTTGATGTCGTCATTGGTCATGATCAATGTCACCTAATGTCAAGTTTGAAGTTTGCAGAAAATTAAGATGGTTCTTTCATGAAAAGTCAAATGTCTTCTGATTTAGGGGCGCTGCCAAGTTGACGTCATCGTGCCTCAATAGAGCCTCCGCCCAGTCGACAGTTGTCCTCAAGTTCAAAGCAGCGATGATCACAACAACACCAGCTGTGCCGCAACTATCGGCGCATTGTACCTCTATAGCTGAATAGCGCCAAATGGTGTTACCGAAGAGGTAGATCTAGAAGTGATAGCCTCTCTAACAACATTACTAACAACCTTGCTTCTCCTCTGCTGTGGAATCATCGACAACGGTAGTTACGAACCCTCTGAAGCCTCTGATCAACCACACTTGGTCGCCTATCTAAACACCGAGGTCCCTTGTACGGCGCCTCTCGTACTCTCGTAGCCTTCGGATCTCTGACCCCTGTGGGGGACCTTACAAAGGTAAGAAAAATGTACCTATGATCTGCTTCTCTGCCAGGTAGATTGGAAATTGCTAAAACATTTTTAATATATCAAGCTGGGAAAACATGAAGCGTAGTGCAGAGTCAGACTCACCTTCTAAAAGGTCAACGCGGCGTAGGAGGCGGGAAGGTGAAGGGGATGCAAATACCGATCAAACGGGTGGTCAGCAGGAGGTGGGCAGTGCAGGTAAGGTACCACAGCTTCAAAATGGATTGTCAGCACTGTATTTTTAAAAAGATACAGGCCACCAAATCATCAGGGAACTCACACTATATATACTTGGTGAATCCAAATAAAATGTGCAGCTGAAACCGTCTCTTCTGCTGTTGCCTCGTCTGCTAATGGTGATTTGTCGGTTGCGACCGCTCCAGCAGCTGCGGGACGCGGCTCTGTCGCCGCGGCAGCACATCCGGGGAGTACTCAGCAGCAATCGACGTATCCACAGCCCAGAAACTTTGCAGAACGGTTGATGTGGGTGTTGGAGAGCAACGCTGCTCCGGATACAATCTGGTGGGAAGAGGATGGACAGGCGGTGGCACTTCATGTGGACAATCTCAAGACGGGGGATGTGTTGAATCAGCACTTTCAGGGCATCAAATACAAGTTTTTCATTCGCAATTTCAGCCGATGGTAAGCCCTTAAAAAGTGGTGAAGGTACTTCAGGTCTTTTTGGCTGTGCTCTTCTTCTCATGGGCGAGGATTGTTGTATTTTTAATTGGTGTCATGATTCAGGGGATTTCGAAGAAACACTGCTTACACCGTCCCTTTTGGTCAGTTCCATTACCGAAACAGCTTGTTTCAAAGGGACTCTCCAAACCTTGTAAGACACATGAGGATGGATTCTGATGTTCAGGACGTGTTTACTCGGCATCAGGCGGCAGAAGACCAGGCTAGGACTCGTAGAAGGAACCCTGCTGCCGGAGAGCCAACACCAGCCCCATCCACTTCAAATACCGGTGCGGGGGCCAATCAGTTGGCTGTTGCTGCTGCTTCGTTGGCCAACCCGCCAGCAGTCGCTGCAGCTGCAAATCAGAATAATGATGGTCAAGCAGCCCAAGCATTATCCAATATTCAGCAGTCTCCAGGAAACGTTCCCTTCAATTTTTCAACGATTCTTGCTGGCATGGCTCTTGCTGCACAATCGTCTGGGCTGCAGCAGGCACAACCTGCAGCTGCACCTGCCGCAGCACAGCAGCCTGCTTCTTCTCAACAGAATAGTAGCGCACAACCACATCCGACAGCGGTCCATAACTTCCTGCTCCAATTGATCCTCCAGCTCGCACAGGTTTATTTGCACCTACCGCCGTCGCCTTCTCAATATAGCGCGGCCATTACTTCCAGTCTCCAGCTCCTGTACATGACCGGTCAACCATATTTGCAAATGAATCCGCAGCAGCCCGATCCTTCGACCGCGGCAGCTTCTCTCCAGCAACTGGCACAGGCCATGTCGGTCTCCGCGGTCAGTACACAACATCAGCCAACCATGAATCTTTCGCCAGAGGCCTCCATGATGCTCCTCATGACCTTCCTGTCACAGCAGCAGCAGCAACCGCAACTTCCGCCCCAGCAACAGCCTCAAAATCCATTTCTGCCGGCGCCTGTCCCTCAAAATCCATTTCTCCCGGCGCCTGTCCCTCAAGCATTGGCTGCTCCGAACAACATTGCGAATCTAGCCGCTTTGTTTCAGCCACAGCCTCCACAATTTCCGAACTTGTCGCAGCAGCAGAATTTGCAGCAACGAAACGTGGGAGTTCCTCCGCCAGCAGCAGCTCCGGCACAACCGATGGGTGGTCAGACAGCACTGCAACAGCAGCAAGATGCGATGCAGCAATTCATGTTGGCACTGCAACAGCAGTCGGGAGCGCCGCCACCTCAAGATGGCGGCCAGGATGACAATGAACGCAGCGACGGACAGGGTACTTAATGATTCATTCAGCTTCCGGCTAAAAATAAAAATGTCCTTTTTGTTTCTTGGGGAGATAGAGAGGCGTCTGATCGATCCATACCAACAGCACCGAGAAAGCCACTTGTTTCCGGAGGGCCAAGCAAGAGCATTGGCGGGGAAACCGAGACCAAGAAGTGGCCCGCCAGGGGCGACGAGAACCATCGTGCGGGTAGTAGTGCGAGTTGCATAGGACATCCTTTGAAGTAACCCAGCGCTGTAAACAAACGGGAGAAACACAACGGTATGCATGAGCGTCGAATGAATAATACTAATGATCCTCTGGGGCAGCGGATGTAGATACAGACCATACCTGACAGGGCCTCCGGTCCATCTCTGCGATGGTGAATGATGATTACTTCACTCCTTGCCGTCTTCGGTGCTGCTGAAGGACTCAAGACTGCTTCTAATTCTTTTTCACCATTTTAATATTTTAATTGTCAAAAGAATGTGAAGAAATTGGAGTGGTAGAATAAGTAGTTTTGAGTGATTTTACGTAATTTATGTTTTTAGGTGGAGCAAAATACATTTTGAACCATTCTGGGTCTCGATTTGGAACCGTGTTAGTGCACCACCAGATGCTTTGTGGGATTACCAGAAATTCCGAACCGTTCGGTTAGACACCTATTAAGTCAGATAGATGAGGTAAAACCAATTCAGTCAATTATTGAAAGTAATTATTGACTCTAACTCTATTTTACCTCAACTACTCATGAAGAGCTTCCTTGAAACTGGTCTCGATTTGATACCGTCGCCGTGTCAGTCATCTCAAATCGTCACTAAGAACGGCTGACGTAATGCTTCGTCAACGAATAAGCTGGCTAGGGGGCTATGCATAGTCCAGTATTTCCCAGTGCACCATCCCCAAACCCGCCCATCATCGAGGCAAAGAGCGGGATCTTGTCTCCCTGCACTGTACTAATACAAGTGTACCGTTGCATACCGCACCCTGCCAAGAACGGAGCTCGTGTACTAGCTAGCTAAGTCGCCAATGCATACTGGGGTCAAGCGCTAAGTCTGGGCGCAACAAAGCGGTGTCTGCATCTAATTAGTCATCTCTTTTCCTTTTTCTCGCTCCATGTCAAAAGCAAGCAACCCCCATTCTCTGCTGGAACCTCGAACTTGCTCAGAGGACAGCACTCTTGCGAGAACTGGCACCGGCACCACTTCCACTCGAAGGCGCTTCATCTGGAACCAAACCATCGGGGTTGGATCCATTCGCAACTGAGCACCCGTACAACTGGGAGCCAAAAGAGCAATCAAGTGGGGCAGAAAATAAGTGAGGTTGAAGCAAGGGCCACAGGAGGTGTCGAAGCAACAGAACCCCGCTTTGAAGCACGTACCAGGTCAAATTCTTCCCCTAAAATGGCGGCCTTGTCAGAAGATATCGATCCTACTAGTGCCACCGTCTTGTCACAGACCGCGGCAGGCTTCTTGTCTTCCTCACCATCCGAGTCGTCCTCGCCATCGTCTGCTGCTTCTGCAGAGGTTCCGTACTTGGATTTCATCAACGTCGCAATTCTTGTCTCGATGCTGTCCTTCATGAACAAGCGCACGACTTCCACATTCCGTTTTTGGCCCTGTTCAAATCAAAAACAAAATTAGCGCCACAGATCACTACACACGTCCTTGTTTCACGGAGCGTTGCACTTACCAACCGGTGGACACGTCCAATGCTCTGCAGCTCGATAGCCGGGTTGAAGCAAGGTTCTAGAAGAAAAACTCTGTTCGCTTGTGTCAGATTGAGTCCTACACTTCCAGACCGCAAGCTCAGCAAGAAGATTGTTGTGGGCGGATCGTTCTGAAAGTCGTGGAGAGCCTTTGCTCGCTGCCGCATGGGCATAGATCCCGACAACGTTCGAAACTGAAAGCCGTTCTTGGGCAATTCCTCCTGCAAATACTTCAGCGATGACGTAAACTGCGAGAAGACCAGAGATTTGGCTGGAGAACAGAGGAGACCAAGAAACGTTGTGTCAGTGGGTCCGTGTGCGAGAAGGGCTTTCGCGACAGCAGCAACATCGAATACTCACAGGTAGGGTCATTGTCTCGTGCATGCTTCAATTCCTGGATCAATCTGGCCGCGTAGAAAAGAAACAAACATGGTCGAGGTTGGCCAGGTGATTCATTTACAAGTAAACACGGGCGACTGCAGCCCTACCTCTTGCATTTCGATTTGAATGCAAAGTCCGAATATTTCACTTGCGCCTTCTTCTTGCTCTTGCCTTCCTCTTCGTCCGAATCCTCGTCTTCGTCTTCAATGGCGCCTTCTACGTTCTCGACGTCGTCGAGAGGATATTTCCCGCCAGCGCAAGCAATTCTTGTTTGCATCAGCTTGGCTTGGAGTCTCACGTAATACTTGCTGAGTTTGGAGTGGCGCGATTTGAAGTCCGTGTACCACTCAAGTGCCTTCGTTTCCAAAACATCGTACTGCTCAAGCTCGTCTTCATCCCAGTCCACCTCGATAGTTCGTTCCGTCTTTGGTGGCAACTGCATCAGAGTGACTTTCGGGGTCGTACCGCGATATGTCTGCTTTTGAGAATGGCGAATCAAGCAGGTGCGAAGAAAGAACATGAAATGACCCAGAACTACGTGACCATTATTGCCACAGGGTCCGTAGCTGTAGCTGCGGCGTCGGCGGCTTTGCCCCTGGCCTGAGTTGCGATCGTTCGTGTGTTCCAACGTGGTTTTGAAGACTTGGAACATCTCATTGACATTTTCGATTCCCAGCCAGTTGAGTTGGTTCTTGAGATCTACCGACGGGGATAAGAAACGAAGGAGCTTGTGAGCACAGTCTGAACAAAAGGTGGCCCTCGTGGCAAGAGCACTAACTTACCAACCAGCGACGTCTGCACCGGAGTGCCTGGTTTTACGAAAGAACAATTAGATAAAAGTTGGCGAAATGATCCACCCTGGAGTATATTGGCGGAGAGATCCTTTGCTTACCTGAAACCAACCACTTGTGGTCTGCAACAAGGTCCGAAACTGCCCGGGATTTCAGGGTAGATGCATCACTCAGGCTGTGGGACTCGTCACAAATCACACGCCACCAGCGCACCTGGGCCAGTGGTGGGACGTAGTCCTCTTCACCCGATTTCTTTGCATGGTATGTATTGTCACTCTGGAGAGTCTGGTAGGTGGTGACCACAATTTGGTTTGCCGCCAGCACCTCCGGAATTCGCTTTCGCGAGCCGCCGTGGTACGAGTATACCAACCCAGGATGGACCAATTTGGATTTAGCCTCGTCGATCCACTGCCCCACCAAGGAGACATGGCACTGGACCAAGCAAAAAAAGTCAGCATCCTTATGGCGACACCAGCAACAAAACTCGAGCACAGTGGGACTTACCACAACCAATGTTCCCCGTGAAATAATATGGCCTCTCTTTGGCTTGCCTTCAGTTGTGCGAGAATACAGGCCCTTATCCCATGTACAGTCGTCCTCGAGATTGTCAAGATCATCAATCGAGCTTCCCGATGCTGGCACTGCCGGAGCAGGATTGGACAGGATCAATGCCAGGGAGATGATCGTTTTGCCGAGACCTGTGTTGCGGTATGTAGTGCAGGAGATAAGCCAAAACAAGACAGCGCAATAGAAAAGAGAGCCACTCTATTTGCAATCCCTTACCCATTTCTTCGGCGATGATGCCGCCACGCACTAGGTTTGGGGGCGTTGTGCGGTAGTTTTGGATGATCGGATTGTACCACACATCCCCATCACCTTCAACCCATGGAAGCTTCGGCCACAGCAAAGCTTGGATGCCACCCTTGGCTGTTTCTCGATCTACACAGAACTGAAGGGACTGCTTTTGGAACTGAAGCAGCTCGCTGTCAAACAAAAGCAAATCTGAATGTGAGGAGTGCGTGCGTATAAAAGCAAAAGAGAGCTCCGGCAGCCACAAGTTCTTACATGTTGAGTCCATCAACCAAGAGCATCTCTTTGTGACCAAGATTTTCACAGTGTGCAATCAAACTTGACATTGTGGTGGTGCCATGTAAGATCGAATTGCAAGATCTTCGAAGACCAAGGGCAAGAGGTCTCTCATCTGCACGGATGTAGGACAGGTCATGGATTGCGTTCTGGTTGGAGTGAGGAGACGAGCACCCTTCACTCTTCCGGAAAGGCAGGCTTTCTCCAGACTTTCTCATTCGGCGATGTTCTGAAACCACTCCTAGACTCTTGCCAACCCAAACGCCCTTCACGCTTGCCTTGGTCACATCCTCCGGCAGAATTTCTTTGAAGTATCTCTTCATCACATTGGAGAACCCGGGCTCCATTTGGCTTTGCCCACCCAGTCCCTTGGATTCATGGGTGGACTCCAAACACAGCGAGTTTCGGGAGGCTTTGGCTTGTGAGTTGCGTTCTTGCACAGAGTCATCAATCTCTGACTTCATCTTTTTCAGGGCCGTTTTCCATTCCGAGCTGCTCAACGTGAACGGAGGCACATCGACTGTTCGACTGGAAAGCGAGTAGACCGGATACCCATCATCCGAGTCTGGTTTTTCTGCGATGAGTGAGCCGCTGAGATCCGAAAGAGCAAACGGGAAGATATTGAACCATGATCCAAGCAATTTGTTGAACGACGCTGCACCAGTCAACTTGAGCCGGCCCTTGGACCGCGGGCGAACATACACCTTGACGGTGAATGTCTAAATCATGCTGGCTGGTAAGACAACAATAGCTAGTTGGTCAAAGCCAAAGGAAAGAAAGCAAACGACTTACCCCTGTCTTTTCCGTTTTGTCCAAGGTTGCGGTGATGTCAAATGTCAAGATAGATTTCGTCCCTTCTGTGGTCGGTGTAGGTGGCTTGCGTGCACAGAATCCTCCAGCCTCAAAGTGTTGGAGCTGCTGCAGTAGAATCAGATCATATTCGTTCTTGAGATGAATGCCTTCCGTCTCGTCCACCGAACACTCTTTCGGACCAGCCCCCCACCTGTAATCCTCATACGCCCAGTAGTTGAACGGATCTCGCACACAGCCATTTTTGTATGCAAAGTCGTCGTAGTGGCGTGCCATGCAATCCTCTTTCTTATGATTCGTGGTGAAGGTGCCCGTCGTCGGCATGTCCTCCTCCTTGACAATGGCGACACTGGCAAGAATCATGTTCAATGTTGGCCGCTTCCCAAATCGATGACGAAAGAAATCTTCCCGCATTTCATCTTCGTCGTATTGCCATTCTGGATTGGCGGTGCCGTCCGCAGCATCCAACCAGTTCTGTTCGTACTTTTCGATTTCTCGTGGATCGCGAGCCACAATGGTGAACGGAATGTTCTTGGTACCGAGAAAGATATCGCCAGCTTGTGGAACCACAGGCTTGGTTTGGAGCTTTCCAAAGTCCTGCTCGCTGGCCACCCGTCCACAGCATTGGCACCAGTCCAGGAATCCGATAGGATGCAGATTCTTGTAGACCCGAAAATTGCGATGAAAGAATCGATTGAACCAGCCACAACGACGACATGCTGTCAGGTTGGGATCCTTCTTGGCCACAGCATCATCGGGAGCAAAGGGGCCGTTCCCGGATTTGAGGCTCCCATTATTGTAGGCGGTAACAACCGCAGTGGCTTGTCGCGGCTCCTGATGGACGTTGGCTGCTTTGGCATGTCGTTGATCCTTCCAGTAGCCCGCCAGAGTCCCCTGATGTTTGTTGTCGTGGGCGTTGCAGTGATTCAAGAGCTTATTGTTTGACGAAGACTCCCAGGAGGCGCACAAAGACACGGGGACATCGCAGACATAGCAGTAGCAGAGACTGCACGACTTTTTGTTGACGCTCAGATCGCTGTTGTAGTCAAAGGGGCACTCGGTGCAGTGGCATCGCATGTGAGAGAATTTCTGTTCATTGACTGTCGTGACAAACTCCACCGCATCGTCGGCATCTTCCTCCTTTGATTCCTTTTCTTTTGCTAATTCGTCATTGTCGCTTTCCTCCTCCATCAATTCCAAAAGCCGTTGGTTGTTTTTGTTGCGGCGGCGGGCAGCAGTGGCTGCTTCCGCCTTGACAATGACAGGGTTGTCGTCGTCCAGAGTGAGATCCGCAATGACACTCACGCCCGCTGCTTCCTTTTTGACAACGGCTCCCATCTTGCCTCCTCCGTCATTGTCGGCATCGCACATGACACATTGGTCGGCGGACTGGTGGTTCCGAAAAGTGCATTTGGAGCATGGCCATGAGGGCTCATGATCATTGGTATTATTATTATTTGGAGTTGTTTTGGCCTTTTTGGCAGGGCGTTCCATACTGTCGCTGTCATTGTCATTGGTGCCACTGTTATTCCCACTCATGTACTTGGCTCTCCCTTGGGTGCTGAGGGACCTCCACATTTCTCCCAGTTTCTTTCCCATCCCTCCAAACGAAATGGATGGATTTTCTTCCTTGACTTTGGGACGATGGTCACGACAAAAGAGCATAAATCCACTTTTCGGTTTCTTCTTCTTCTTGCTTTGGCGACTGGCCGTCACAGCACGAGCAGCAGCCCGCGTAGGTGGGCGTGTCTTGGGTGTCACCAGAGTATCCTCTTCTTCATCACCACTACTGAGAACGATCACCACCTGGCTGGTCGCCTTTCTCTTCTTGCCACTAGAATCGGACATGGTGATGGATTGCTCGTTCAGTCGATCTTCCGATGCTATCTGTGCCACAACAGCACTTTTCTCTTCTTCTTCTTCTTCTTCTGATTTTGTCTGTCTCTTGTCTCCTCTCTTCGCTACTATCGCTGGGTGTCAAAGATACAAAGCACTCTGTCCTGCTCTGGCTGGCTAATAGTTTTAAAGTTTGTTGCAAGTTTGGCCGCTGTGAGATAGTGAGGGATCATGAGATCCTGAACAATCTGGAAGGTCAGCATGCTTCCAACCATGACAGCAGTGGTGCTGCCTCAACTGATGGAGTTTGAAATATCAACAAGCAAACAGTTGAGAATAGGTATAGGATAGAGTAAAATAGCTCACAATGTAGCAAAAACCCTCACGCTTCCTCTGCGCATGCTGCATGCTTCGAGCAACTCCTTGTCACTTACGTTGTTTCAAGGAGCACCTCGTTAAGCCACCGAGCACCGCCTTTTACTGACAATCCAGTCACTAAAGGAGCTGCTCCGTACCAATACATTTTGGCATCGGCCAAAGGACGTTGACTGTAGTCAACGCCACCTCACTTCTGTCGAACTGAGGACCTCATTTACTTCACCCACTGTGAAGTGAACGAACAAGATTTCTGACTCCGACGAGAATCAAGAGTTTCCAAATAGGGAACAGAGAGCAGTCAGAAGAGCGGATCAGATCCAACAAGTCGCCAGGCAACTACAACGGACGAGAGATCGGTTAGAGAGACGCAGGTTACGCGATCAAGAAAGGATAGCACAAGCACCAACCATGGACGCTGCTCAGATCGCGCAACTAGTTACGGCAGCAGTCGCAGCCGCGATGCAAGATCAAGCTGTACTGACTGCAATCCGCGGACAAGGGCAACCTGCACGACCAGTAGCACCTTTCGCGGTGACTCCAGCAGGAACCGGAAACAACGCCTGGGACTTCACGTCCGGAACTGGACTCAAGATTTTCATCGCTGCCACCGCTCCATTCACGCCTCAGTACGACGGCACCGAAATCAAGTTACGTGACTTCCTTCGCAAGATCTGGCACCGTGCTGAAGCATTTGGGTGGACCACCATCCTCTTGATCACGGACGAAGAAGGCACTCCCAGAAACATCACGCAAGAGTATGGTTGCCTCACAGTCGCAGGAGTCAAGAACCACGCAATCACGTACCTTCGACAGGACAACAGGGAACATCAGGCGTCAGCATGCCTCCGACAACTCATCATCGGATCCATTACGTCCAAGCTCGCAGATAAGCTCATCAACAGAAAGGCCAACTACACCGTCAATGCGGCAGCCGCGACTCAGCCAGGACAGGCTGCACCACCTCCCATCAACAAGGAAGATGGAGCTTGTATGCTCTACGACATCATCAAGATCGTCTCGGTTGAGACCAAGGCGACAGTGGCTCTCATCATGAAGAGACTTGCCAACCTCGAAATCATCATGGAAGAGTGCAAGTCCGACATTGCAGCGTTCAATGACAGAGTTGATGACCTTGTCAATCAGCTGACGGCACGCAACGTGGCAGTTCCTTCGATGCTGAACCCGCTTTTCGATGGGTACAACAACTGTGCCGACAAGACATTCGCCACTTACATCGCACGCAAACAAGAGGCCTATGAAGACGGAACCATCGATCTGGAGTATGCCACGTTGATGTCCACGGCATTGGAGAAGTACAAAGTGTTGAAGGACAGGAAGGTCTGGCTCAAGAAGACTGATGAGGAGCTTGAGATCCTCACACTCAAGGCTGAAATGAGCAGGCTCAAGACGCCCTCCACCACGAAAGGAGCGCCTAAGGGTGCGACGGACGGCAAGAAGAGTGAGAAGGCGAGTGATTACGCCGAGAAGAACGCTTGGAAGCTTGTTCCTCCAAAGCAAGGAGAGACTCAGCACAAGACCGTCAACGGCAAGAAGTACATCTACTGCCCTTACCATCACACAACCAAGTGGGTCCTCGAGGTAAACAACAAAGGAATCGTCCACAAGACTGGATGTGAAAAGATGAAGGAAGCCTTGGCAGCTGCCAAGGACAAGCCCAAGGAAGAAGACGCATCCGCTGCAGCATTGGCAAATGCGATTGAAGACGTCGGGACCGATACGTTGCTCCCAGTCGTCGATGAAGAGCTCTGATGGTGGCGGAGTAGAGGACACCTGTCGTACCCACTTGTAGCGTACTGTAATCACTTTAGTGACCAACTTTCTGTTACTTGTGCCCTTCAGCCCCTACTCTTAGCCATAGCAATAGCCAACGCTCTAGTGACAATCCTGAGCTGGAAGGAGACCGTCGAATCCTTGGGCACGAGAGCAGAGCGAGCATTTGATGACGCGGCAGCAGAAGTGCATCTTTCACAGATGCTACTTCTCTTAGCCGCCGAGAACATGCTCGGAACCTTCGAATGGCTTAGGGCGCTGTACAGCGAACCCATGTTGTTCATCCTCGTCATGATGTTGTTCGAGGACCCCATCCATCTGTTGATTAGGATTGCTGCTGCAGCAGCGTCGTGTGCTGTGGACACGACGGCGTTCGCCTTCGCGAGCACCGAGTTCGGTGCAGCCTTGTTTATGTTCTTCGCCGTGGCAAGGACGATGCTCGTGTGGGGTCTGAGCCCTCAAGAGGCACCACAGTACGTGCCCAAAAGACTCAGGAGGGAACCTGCCTTCCTTACAAGAGTCTGCAAGACATCAATCGATGCAATCAAGTCCGTCTCGTGGGGCGTGACCAACGCGACACTGCTCATGATCGAGCTATCGCACATGGCCATCATGGAGTCGGCAGGAATTCCTACGGAGAACAAGAACAAGAGGAGAATTGATGACGATGAGTCGTTCCTGGATCAGGGCGATGACGAGGACGAGCCGTACGCCAAGATCTGTGGCAGGTACCGTAACAAGAGGTATCCGGTGACGCTCTGGGAGTTCAATCACTCCAACAATCCACACCTACCTGCAACGACTTTTCAGCTCTTCATCAGATTCCTGCTGATCTTGAAAGGAGGACTTCGAATGTTGGCTTGCGAAACCAACCCCATTACGGCTCTGCAGTTCATTGCCTTCTCGCTATCCAACCAAAACAATCAGAGCGCTGAGGACCACCAATACGACGCAGACTCAGTCTTGATTGCGATAGACAACTGCTCATCCAGGTGCATCACCAACTGCATGAAGGACTTCATAGGCAAGCCCACGAAGGTCCAGGTGAAGGTCCAAGGAATAGGTGGGACAGTCACGGCAACGTACAAGGGAACAGTGAGGTGGTCAATTGAAGATGACGATGGCATGGTCCATCACTTCCTCATCCCTGACACGTACTACAACCCATCAACGCCGTACAGGCTGCTGTCGCCACAACACTGGGCGAGGGTTGCAGATGACAACCGACCAAAGCAAAGAGGAACGTGGTGTGCCACGTATGAGGATTCGGTGGAGCTGTTTTGGAATCAGAGGAGCTTCAAGAGGATGATTCCTCTGTCCCCGTCCAACAATATTGCAATCGTTCGGAGCGCACCTTCCTTCTCGAAACTCCATGCATTCTGCTCGGAGATTGCACCAGCCATTAGTTCCGATAGGAAGGAGCAAGAGCTTGATGAGACGGAGTTACTCTGCTGTCCAGCAGTCTCCGTGACCGACGACGAGTCGTCTGTTTCCTCCGACGGATCTGACAGCGAAGACGATCCAGAGTTCGAGCACAGGGCGCATCCAGATCTTCCCAGACACGTCAACACTGAGGGCGAACGTTCCAAGGAGTTCCAACAGCAAGTGACGGATGCATTCAAGATGGGAAAGGATCTGAACAAGTTCGTTCAGGTCCCAGTGGTAGACCACGACTACACGGAGTACATGACCAAGGAGACGGACCTTCTATCATGGCACTACCGACTCGGTCACTTGTCCTTCGACAGAATCAGGAAGCTCGCACAACGAGGAGCACTCCCAGCCTCCCTCGTGAACGCAAGAGCACCCAAATGTGCAAGCTGTATGTTCGGTAGAGCAACCAAGAGAGCATGGCGGTCGCGGACACCAGTCAATCAAAATAATGACATGGTCCCGAATGCAACAGCCCCAGGCTTCGTGGTCGGGGTTGATCAGCTCATCTCATCAACGCCAGGCTTCATCGGGCAAATGAGAGGCATTCTGACGCGCAAGAGATACACCGTCAGCACCGTGTTTGTTGATCACTATAGTGGACTGTCATTTGTCCACTTACAGACGTCAACCTCCGCTGAGCAGACAATCATAGCCAAGAGAGCCTTCGAGAGATATGCCAAGACTTTTGGAGTGACCGTTCGACACTACCACGGAGACAATGGAATCTTTGAGAGCAAGGCATTCGTCGAGGAAGTCCACAGGAGTGGGCAGACGATCTCGTATGCAGCGGTCAATGCACACCATATGAATGGAAGGGCAGAGAAGAAGATCCGAGATCTGCAGGAAGCAGCAAGGACAATGATTCTGCACTCAAAACAGAGATGGCCGAACGCAATCACGGCCCATCTATGGCCATATGCGGTCAGGTACGCGAATGACATCGCGAACGCGACGCCAATCCGCAAAGGAAAGGATCACGTCTCGCCTCTGGAGCTTTTCTCCGGAGTGGACGTAGAGCCCAAGGTCAAGAACGCCCACACTTTCGGGTCCCCTGTTTACGTCCTGGACAACAGGGCGCAACAAGGGAAGCCGATGCCCAAGTGGGAACACAAGGCGCGAATCGGGATCTATCTAGGTCTGTCGCCTCGTCATTCAAGGAAGGTGGCATTGGTTCTGAGTTTGAGAACGGGTCTTGTATCACCGCAGTTCCACTGCCAGTATGACGACCTCTGTGACACGCTGCGCCGTTCAACAGGCAACATAGTCCCTCCATCAAAGTGGCAGGAGAAGGCAGGTTTTACGGAGCAGGAGGAGCCGGAACCAGCGGCAGATCGTCATCGTGGAGACGATCAAGAAAGTGTTCCGAAACAACAACAACAAGAAGAGAGAGACGATTCCCGTCACGATTCGGACGAGACTCGGAATCGCGAGTCGCAAATTCCAACTGCGGAGGATATATTGAGAGAGGATTTCGGAATCCACGGCGAGACCCACAATGATGGAAACATAGAGCCTGAACGGGAAAGCGTCCCCGCCAGGAACGAGACAGGGCGACACGATGGAAGAGAGGAGAAGCGATCAAGAAGTGGTCGAAGGATCCGACTGCCTGAGCGTATCAGAGATGACTATGAGATCTCGTTGGCAGCGGCGGAAATCCCGTGGGAGGTGTTCCACGTTGAGGGATATCAAATCCAAGATGACATGGAGGACCCAATCTCATTTGCCGCATCTGCAAATCCGGACATCATGTACATCGACGGCGCTATGGATGCACATGATTCGAAACAGTTCCGGGAAGCAATGACGAAAGAAGTTGACTCGCACACGGACTTCAAGCATTGGCGAGTGGTCCCAAAATCCGTGATGCCGAAAGGAACGAAGCTGTTGCCATCCGTGTGGGCTTTCAGACGCAAGAGAAGGATCGCGACACAAGAGATCTACAAGTGGAAAGCGAGATTAAACGTTCATGGTGGGAAGCAGACAAAATTTGTTAACTACTGGGACACCTACTCCCCAGTCGTCGGATGGACAACAATCCGCGCATTCCTCGTGTTGATGTTGGTCAACTGCTGGAAATCACGGCAGGTTGATTTGTACTGGCCTTCCCACAGGCAGACATTGAATGCGAGATGTACATGGAAGTGCCACAAGGATTCAGCGTCGCGCAATCGAAGGGAAGATCAGTGCTCAAACAGACGAGCGACAAGCGCCGCTATCACGGTGACCATTGCCTACTCTTGGAAAAGAACCTTTACGGTCAAAAGCAAGCTGGAAGAGTATGGAACCGGTACATGCACGACGGATTGATAGCTCGAGGATTCGAACAGAGCAGCGTCGACATGTGCGTGTACTACAAAGGCTCAGTGGTCCTGCTCATCTACGTGGACGATGGGATATTCATCGCACCAACGGACAAGGAGATTGATGATGTGTTTGAGCTTGTTTCGAAGCCATTCGTGAGCAAAGAAGGAAAGGAGTTCCGCGCATTCAACATGACGAATGAAGGTGATCTCTCGGATTACTTAGGAGTCAAGATTGAGAAGTTGGCAAACGGGCTGATCAAGTTGACTCAGCCACACATGATCAAGCAGATCCTAGATGACCTTGGATACAACGAAAAGACCAAGTCGCAGGCGTCCCCAGCAGCATCAACAGTGAGACTGCACCGCGACGTAGGTGGCGATCCTATGAAGGACGATTGGAGCTACCGGAGCGTCATTGGCAAGTTGAATTTTCTGGAAAAGTCAACACGACCAGATCTGGCATATGCCGTGCATCAGTGTGCAAGGTTCTCTGCAGACCCGAAAGAGTCTCATGCAGCAGCAGTGAAGAGGATCGGAAGGTATCTGGCTGGAAACGCCGAAAAGGGGATAGTATTGAATCCGCAGAAGTGCTCGTTCGACGTGTTCGTGGACGCGGACTTTGTCGGTAACTGGAACCGAACGACTGCGGACGTTGATCCAGGCACAGCTCGATCACGTACTGGATTCGTCATCCTCTATGCAGGATGTCCAGTAACGTGGGCATCAAAACTACAGAGAGAGGTGGCTCTATCTACGACAGAAGCAGAGTATAATGCACTGTCCGAATCCTTAAGGGATACAATTAACTTGATGCAGTTGATTGAGGAAACGAAGGAGAGACTCAGCTGGTCCACGCACAATCAGCCTCCCGTTGTTCATTGCAAAGTGTTCGAGGACAACAGTGGAGCTCTCGAGATGGCAAAGGAACCCAAGATGCGTCCGAGGACGAAGCACATATGCGTGAAGATGCATCATTTCAGGGATCACGTTCGATCCAAGAAGATATCCATCCACAAGATACCAAGTAGGTATCAATTGGCTGACATAGCCACCAAGCCACAACCAACATCATTGTTTGAGTCACAACGCGAGAGCATCTTGCAGTGGGAGGCTGAAACAATGACAGCAGCACAACTGAAGCAGCCTTCGAAGCATCTGAGGGCGTGTGAGATAGTGAGGGATCATGAGATCCTGAACAATCTGGAAGGTCAGCATGCTTCCAACCATGACAGCAGTGGTGCTGCCTCAACTGATGGAGTTTGAAATATCAACAAGCAAACAGTTGAGAATAGGTATAGGATAGAGTAAAATAGCTCACAATGTAGCAAAAACCCTCAGGCCGCAGGTCTCTTCAGCTTTTCGCCTCTTCAGGTTTTTCTGCAGGCCAGAAACCCTGTGTGGTACTAGTAACACCACGCGTAGATTTCTACGAAAGTGTCGTGCTTTGTCTGAATTTGCTGCCAACAAGCGAAAGATTTAGCTGAAGAAGGCGCTGCAGATTCAGGCGCGGACCGTGATTACATGGTTCCACGGTGTCCACTCCAGCACAGTCAACATCAGCCAAGGATCACACAAAGATGTCATATCCTTTGAGTTGATGAGGAGGCCGGGAATTTCTTTTGAGGCTTTCTAGCCAGACTAGCTCGTCGTTCTCGGTTGCAAAGACTGCAGCTAGTTGAGGGTCCCAAAGCAACGTCTTGTCTGCAGGACCAAACAAACTTTGATCAAAACTGCTCAAGATCATTGTTGCCTCCACAAAGCGCAATGGGGGGCGTGGAGGTGCAGTATTGTAGTCTGGTTCAAAGTTCGTACAGTGGTACCGGTACACACTTCCATGATCCACGCCGATTGGTGCAGCCCACCTCCAATCCTGACCTGCAATGGATAGGCAGTGGAACCTTCCTGTTGAACAATCCAAATTCACCCGCTGCCACACTGCCAAACCCACTTCACACGGCCTCTTGCTTGCCGTGTTTGCCCAAGTCTGTAAAATATTATGGCATCGTCGTTTCCTGGAGACCAGCCAGCCATGCCTCGAAAGATAACCTTCTATGGTATTTAATAGTTGCTCCTAAACCACATCTTCAATGTCTGCACGGTGTTAATTGATGATGAAGAGCCTGGCCTATTCTACAAGCAGTACTCCTTGCAAGAGAATGATTGAATGATTCGATGCAATGGGCCCATCTGCCTAGCACCTCCGCGCAGTTTCTGTACGGAGAAGGAAATACCGGTAGCAACAGACCCCCCTCTCATTGCGAGCTGTATACCGTACCGGTAAGATCGATATGTCGAGATGGAAACCAAAACCTCCTCTTGACGAGGAGAGAGGCTTGTTTCGACGTGAGCAACTAATCGGGTAAGAATCAAGCAAGCGTATTGCAGCACAATGATGCAAACTAACGAAGTCGACTCTAAGTTTAATAAATTAAAACATGCAGTCCAGTTACTTCCCGTACCGGTACCGGTATTCTCACGCACCACTGTTGACAATATGCATGTGCGGAAGAAAGACGACAATTCTTCAATGAAGGAGACCTTCAATGCAGGAGACGATGGATCTTCATTGCCGTTCAAATTAATTGATTCATTCTTCACTCCAGACCGGGAACTCCATCGACAGGCACACAACAGATGCAGCAACAACAATCTTCACTAGCATCGCTTTGCTGTCGTCTCTTGGCTTCTTCTGCCCTCTTCTTCTGGTCATCGCCACGGTCCATTGACTGTGGTGTAACACTTGCTGCTTTGGCTTCTGGCATTGTTGTCGTTTGGATTCAATTCCTGATTTCTGGCGCAAACTTTGAAGGCTACCGACTAGCAAGCAAGGTAGTATCACAAAGTAAATGGAATGGCTGGCAGATGAGAGAGAGAGGGACAAGCAACAATAATGATGCGAGATACAATGTTCTTCATAAACTCACTGGTCGTACCGGTACACGTACCGCCGGTGCATCAATCAGCATCAACAAACATCGCAGCATTGAGGCGATCAACCGACGACATTTAGTGAGAGGGATCCCAGATTCTCGGGCTCGGAGAGCGAGCGGCACGTTTCGTCCCTCCGACCTAAAGGTATCCACAAGATCTTTGCGTCCTTCGGTTTATCCCGAATTGATTTGCATCCAACATCCAACCTCCAGCAATCATGTAAACTTCACATAAATTGATTGCCCGCCTCTTCTTTCCGGATAGCTGGTGCATATACCTGTGAATACTCCCAACCAAGCCTCCCGTTCGCTTCGACCCCAACCACACAGCCTGACCAAGATGACAGTGATAACACCTCCATCCCGCGTCGCCGCCGCACGACGAAACTTTCGCAAGTATCTCTTTCTGGGCGTGGCCATTGGCGCCTGCACGTGTGTGGCTCGTTGGAGTCAAGGATACTACAATGCCGCAAGAGCATTTGCACCTCCTCCTCACATTAAGCACTTTGACAAGGGCGAGAAGGGCTACAAGCGAGAACACTATTGCATTGACAATTCGGACCGAGAAGAATGCTGCTCCGAGTACCAGTGCACCATGTTTGTCACCCGTTCGACGCTGTACAGTGACTGCTGCAATCATGTCCACAACACGGATGAAAAGACTGTCAAGAGAGGACGACAACATTCCCACTTGTTGCCACTCCTCATCACATCGGCACCTCGCAGTGGCACTCGATTCATTCAGCAGTTGTTCACCCGCGTGGGAATGACCGGTCTCACCACGGATTCACACTCGCCGCAGAATCGCGGACAAGTGTCTTGGAAGCATGTCTTTGATGATGAGGATTACGTTGTGGGGGATACCAATCCAACTCATCTGTACAAGAGCAAATTCCGAGTCATTTGGCATTTGGTCCGGGACCCGCTCAAGTCGCTCACTTCAATGGCATTCACAGAACCGCTACTCGAAGACACGGCCAAGAGCGACCAGTACGTCAAATACGTTTCCAAACATATCCATCTTTCCAACCAGTCCACGTTGCGAGACTTTTTCCGCATTACTCCGGATGAATGGGAGACTCGCGCCAACCACACGGACAGTGAAAAGATGCACAAGTTTTTGGTGTACCGAGGCATGGAGATCTACTTGCACTGGCATGGCTTTATCAATTATCTCAATGTCCCTATATTCCGTTTGGAAGACTTGGCTGTGGACAAGAATGTCACCGTTCTCGATGAAGTCTTTCATTCCGTCGGCATCCAGCCACCTCGGCACAGTGAAGTCATGTCCTACTTGGAAGCACAGGAATACAAACGTGAACAGTATCAAAACCGACGACGACGTCTCAAGAAAGGTCGAGACCGATTCAGGTCCAAAAAAGACCTGCACAAGGATGAACGAGAGCACCGTGAAACACTCAACTGGAGGGAACTTTGTCATGTGGACAAGCGAAAGGCTCGGGACTTGCTGAAAATGAGTCAATCGTTTGGATATTATCAGGAATTGGACGAAGAGACGCTTTGTCAGTAGACAATAATGAACCAAACCATCGTCAGGATCTTCGTACTAGTATCGTGGGGCAAGAGGCCGCGAGCCCCTACGTACAAGCCATGATTTGGGTCACTCCAAAAACAAGAATGAGATCAGGCCGGAAAACTACTGTCATGCATGTTTGCCTGGCGAGAGAGACCGTGACTTTGATACTAGCTAGGAAGAAAGGAAGTGGTCAACTTTATTACCTACCGGTACATAATCATGCATATAGAATATGGTGATTTAAGTATGAGTCGCCTGGTTTGATCCAATGGCTCCTCCTCCAAAACAGCAAAGTAGCATGAACCAAAGGGAGACTCCTGGCTCCTTGCTTCCCATTCAGCCATAGCAGTTCGGTCCTCTATACTAGCATTTGCAGGGACCTTTTTGCAGCTTTCGAAGGCAAAGCAGGGTGTGTCGCCCTGGCCACGAGTAAAGTTTCTCAAGGTGTAGTCTTGCTGCGAAGATGCAGCAGCTCCTGGCTATACCAGTAGCAACCAAGTGGCTGCAGAAAATGCACTTGCTTTCCTTTCTCGAGACAACGCAGCACCTGATGATCTGTGGACCAGGAAAGCCCACGGCTACAAGCATGACGTTGCCCAATGCCAAAGCCAAGAACAGACTGGCGGAAAACTACATATTGGACCTCTAAAGCCAGCCCCCAAGAGCAGCTCTACCGTAGCTGGCTTGCAGTAGCTTGGGGGATAGCGCTACTGTTGTCTGCTTGTGGCTTTGGACGTCACCCTCTTCAACCTTTCTTTCTCCTCGTAACTCTTGCGTCAGCCCTGGTACCAGCAAGAAAATAAATCTTCAGAAAAATGCTGATACAGATTCGATACTTGCAATTATACCATTTATTTTATTCATTTACTTTGACGAAGTATTCTTTTCAGGAATTGTATAGTGAAAATCTTCTCTCCAATATTACACGAGAGACAATGAGAACACGTCACTGTCGGCGTCAAGCCAAACGTCAGAAGGCTTTGGGCGTTCGCTCGGTCGGTAGGAGAAAGCAAGGAGAAAATTGCACGCACGAGCCTGAAGGTGATGTTGAGGCAAAGATACCCACAACTTGCACTTGGATCGGAGGCTCCACTTCTCAAAATCTCTCATCAAGTTCACCATGAAGATCACCAGCCTTTTCGCCGTGGCCCTCTTGCCGGCCGCCAGTGCCTTCGTCGTCCAGCCCAATGGACGTACTGCCATCCGCTCCCCAGTCACAGAGTTGTCGGCTGTTGCCGAGAAGAGGGGAATTTTGTCCCGGATCTTTGGTGGAAAGAAGGTAGCCGCATCCCCCTCGCCCAAGCCATCCACTATCCCAGTCTCGGATTCGACTCCTTTTCCCCAAATTGACAGCACTTTCCCTGGTGCCATGACAAATGCGGAATTGATTGACTTCATGACCGATACTCTTCGTGCCAACGGATATGATGAGTCCAAGACATTGATTGCCACTTCTTTGTGCTGTGATGAAGTGAACAGACCTCTTGAGACTGACCTCTGCAATGTCTTTGACACCAACTTCAACATGGGAGGACTTGCTGGATTCCCTTTCGGAGGTGCCACCAGTTTTGGTGCCATGGCAGCCCACATCCCCGATGGCGGTTCATGCGCTGTTATCTACGGTCCTCATGTTGGTGTTGACTCCAAGGGAAACATTGGTACTGTGGAGCGACGAGGACGTGCCGCTGGAGGTGCTTGCTGTGGATCTGCTGTTGCCGCCTCTGGGTATGTTGCTGGTGTTCTTGGTGGAGAACCCAAAGCCAGCCTTCCCAGTAGCCCTCTTGATGCCCAGCAATATTTCGTTGGATCTATGCTCATGCCCTATGCTGAGAGACTTGAGGCTGCTGGTGAGAAGATGAAGGAACTGCCATATGCTCTCTACGATGCCCAGTCTGACCTTATGGAACGAATCCTTGGTCAATCCGGTAGTGCTGTTGCCGGAGAGGGAACATCTGCTGTTCTTGGAGGAATCCAGATCAACACACCGCCTGGCTACAGCGACTACTTCCTGCCCCTCAGCTTTGATCTTTACGACAGTGAAGGAAAGATGGCCAAGAGACTGTTGAAGACTGATGTCAAAGCATTCCCCAAGATCGCCGACACTTTCCCTGGAGCCCTCACCAACACTCAGTTGGTTAGCCGTTTGACAAGTGCCCTGAAGAGCAAGGGATACAATGCTGGCAAGACTCTTGTTGCCACTTCCTTGTGCTGTGATGAAGTGAACCGTCCTCTGGAAACTGAACTCTCTTCTGCCTTTGACACCAACTTCAACATGGGAGGCCTTGCTGGATTCCCATTTGGAGGAGCCACCTCTTTCGGAGCCATGGCATCCCACATCCCAGATGGAGGTGACTGTGTTGTTGTCTATGGGCCCCATGTTGGTGTTGACTCCACTGGTGCTGTCGGCACTGTTGAGAGAAGGGGACGTGCCGCTGGAGGTTCTTGCTGTGGATCTGCTGTTGCTGCTTCTGGTTATGTTGCTGGTGTCTTTGCTGACAAGTCCAAGGAAGCTACTCTCCCAGATGACCCCCTTGATGCCCAACAGTACTTTGTTGGCTCCATGCTCATGCCCTATGCTGAGCGATTGGAGAAGGCTGATTCTAAGATGGTTGAATTGCCATATGCTCTCTATGATGCCCAGACTGATTTGATGAAGAAGATTGTTGGTAAGTCTGCAGGGGCAGTGGCAGGAAAAGGAAAGATTGCTGTCTTGGGTGGTGTCCAAGTGAACACTCCCCCAGGATATGAGGACTACTACCTCCCTATCAGCTTCGACATGTACGACAACAAGGGCAACTTTGTTGAGAAGATTGACCTGTAAAGCAAACATTGTCTTTTAGGAGCGAAGCATCCGTGTTGTAGTCTGTGCCGGCCACGGGTTCTGCACGAACAACCTACATTTTTCACTATAAAGCATAATAAACACTTTCGAGTCTACGCTTAGTCTGCTCGCTTGTTTACTTCTATTCTCCCTTGAGTCGCAGCCTTGCTCGTAGTTAGCTGGAGTTACTAGCTGGCAAAGTGGGCAAGAAAGGAAGACCCTGGCTCCATGCCGTGCGAAGAAGCTTGTTCCGTACTATTGAATCCAGTTACCGTTGCTCGGCAAACTTCAGGAAGCCAGGGGAGGGCAAGCTTCAGGGAGCTGCTGTTGCTGGCTGCGGTATCTGGCCAGCAAAGCAAGGGTCCAGGCACTGAAGACGTCCTTTTTGGCATCCCGTTGGTATCTCACCGGTGTCCAAAGGTCAGCGTGACGTTGAGGGAGCGATTTGCTACACGTCAGGCTTGCATTGCAAGAACCACGGCGCAAACTTTGGGCAGCTTTGGTGGATGGATTTTCGGAGCTTCCAGCTTGCCTTTCGTATCGCTGTGATACGACATCGTACGATATTCCAATAAACAAAGTATTTCTTTCCATTCAATCAAAGCAGCAAATTCAAATAAAATTGTTATTGATCTGAGATTAAATTAGGGATTTCCTTTTTTTCATGAATCCACACGCGTACGTCATAGCTTTCTCTCTCAGCGCATTCCGAGGATCGCCCTTTCTGCAATGCGGCAAAAGCGGAGACGACAAAGATACCCTCACAATCTTTGATCCAGAGAAACCATGAGAATCGCCATCACCTTGCCCGTTCTTCTTGCCGTGTTGCCATCGGCAGGTGCCTTCGCACCTCAACCGGCAAGCCGTGCCAGTGCTCGTTTGCAGGAAACTGCCACCCCTGAATTGGTGGATGCTCTCGAAGGAACCAAATCCAGGGTCAAAGTTGCAGCGGGTGCTGTCGCAAGCAGCCGTATGTTCGCTGATGTTGCTCCTGACACCAAGCAATTCGCAGGTGCCACCAAGGCATTCCCTGGTGCCTTGACCAATGCTGATTTGAAGACATTTATCCGCGAGCAACTCAAGGCCAACGGTTACAATGAGAAGACCACCTTGGTGGCAACGTCATTGTGCTGTGATGAAGTCAACAGACCTCTGGAAACTGAGCTCAGTGACATGTTCAACACAAACTTCAACATGGGAGGTCTTGCTGGGTTCCCTTTTGGAGGTGCCACCTCTTTCGGTGCTATGGCATCCCACATTCCTGATGGTGGTTCGTGTATGGTCGTGTACGGACCTCATGTGGGTGTTGACTCCAAAGGAAATGTTGGAACTGTCGAGCGCCGTGGACGCGCCAATGGAGGTGCTTGCTGTGGATCAGCTGTGGCTGCCTCTGGGTATGTTGCGGGTGTTCTTTCCGGAGAGTCCAAGGCAACTCTCCCATCAGATGCTCTTGATGCCCAGCAATACTTTGTTGGATCTATGCTCATGCCATATGCCGAACGCCTAGAATCTGCCAGGGACAAGATGGTTGAGCTTCCTTATGCCCTCTATGATGCCCAGACTGATCTCATGGAGCGCATTGTGGCTCAGTCTGGCAGTGCTGTTTCTGGCAATGGCCGCACTGCTGTGCTAGGAGGAATCCAGGTCAATACGCCACCTGGCTTTTCTGACTACTTTTTGCCCCTCAGTTTTGATATCTATGACAGTGATGGCAAGTTGGAGAAGAAGATCATGGGCAAGAGTGCCACTGCTGGAACCAAGACTTTCTCTCAAGTTGAAGAGAAGTACCCTGGAGCATTGACCAATGCTGAGCTCCTTGCCAAGATGAAGGCAACGCTTGCTGACAAAGGATACGATGAGGGCAAGACCCTTGTTGCCACTTCTTTGTGTTGTGATGAGGTTAACAGACCACTTGAATCTGACCTTTCTGCTTCCTTTGACACTAACTTCAACATGGGAGGACTTGCTGGGTTCCCGTTTGGAGGAGCCACCTCCTTCGGTGCCATGGCATCCCACATCCCTGATGGTGGTGACTGTGTTGTTGTCTATGGACCCCACGTTGGTATTGACTTTGATGCAAATGTCGGAACTGTCCCCCGTCGTGGAAAGGCCAGTGGTGGATCATGCTGTGGATCTGCTGTTGCTGCTTCTGGTTATGTTGCTGGTGTCAATGCTGGAGGTGCTAAGGCTACTCTCCCAGATGATCCCCTTGATGCCCAACAGTACTTTGTTGGTTCCATGCTCATGCCATATGCGGACAGACTTGAGAAGGCCGGTGACAAGATGCAGGAGCTCCCACTTGCTCTGTATGATGCCCAAACTGGCCTGATGAAGCAAATTGTTGCTCAGTCAGCCGGGGCAGTTGCGGGAAATGGAAAGATTGCAGTGTTGGGAGGAGTGCAAATCAACACTCCACCAGGCTACAGTGACTATTTCTTGCCCAAGAGTTTCAACCTGTATGATAACAAGGGTATTTTGCTTGAAAAGCTGTGGAGCTAAACCAAAGGAGTCGAGCCAGCTCTATCGCTAATGAAATGAAATAATATAGAAAACAAAAGGTTGCATTCTTTTTTGAAACGGTGATGTCTACCTCTACTAGCTAGACTAGTAGGCTCTAATCCACCCTTGTATACTGTCTTGTGGGAAGCCCTTAAGCAAGGGAGCATGTTGTGGTCAAATCTGGATAACACCTAACACCAGTTCCACTCTACGAGAGTCCCGCCCACATGCAAACCGGTAGCAGTAGAGAGATCTTTCCAGCTACAGCAGACTACCAGGTAGCTAGTTCATCGGATGATTTAAACAAAATAGGACTAGTAGAAAAGTTTTAAAAGTGCACATCGTTTGCAACCGAGCAAAAAGAGACAGGGGCACACCACCACTACCCATTAGCAGCATTCTGTGTGGACCTCCCCAGTGGAAATCTAAACCAGATATCTCTCTGGTGCTGGTGTGTTTCGAGGCCGTGCAGCCTCAAAGGCAAACGCATTGCCTCTGCTCTCCTCGTCGTCTTCCTCGGACGGTTCCATTCGCAGCACAGTTTCGTAAAACTCTCGCGAGTCTGGCGACAGTCGTGGGGCTGCTGCTGCAGGGTTTCTGTCGGTGGGATGATGCGTGTGTTCTACTGGCAAATCCAGTTGAAGAGGATTCCACTCGCCGGATGAAGGAACTTGTTTTGTGACGGACACACGCTTGACTGAATACAGGGGAGAATCCGAGTCCTTAGTTTCGGCGGCATGTTGTTGGTCTGCACGTGATCCAGGCTCAATGATGAGTGTCTCCTGCAAGACAAGCACATTGTTGTTTACTGGAGAAGCGGGCTCAGAACGACAAGTGTCCGCGCCGTAGTTTCTCTTGGGGGAAGACGATGGTGAGAAGGACACGCTACTCAACAGATAGGTCGGTTTTGGAGATTGGTTAGGAGAGTAGGAGGATGCAGATCCAATGGAGCGATGCCCCGACCGTTGAGGAGATTGAGATCGAGAAGAGTCCGCATTGTATGGCGCGAGGCCGGAAGACTTGGAAGCGGGCGCCGAGAACTTGTTGTAGCCTAATCGTTGAATAGAATTGGCGGCGTTCAACTGTTGCCGTTGTGAATGCCATTCTTGGAGCACCGGGTCCCCTGGTTGTCGTGACAGCTTCTTGTCGGGTGACATGGAGGTCGACCTTCTCGAGGAAGTCGTGCTGCGCTTGGAGGTTACGCTCAGGTGGGACATGACACTGCGATCATCATGGACGATGGACCCATCGGCATTGATTCGACTCTTGCATTGTAGATGGTCCAACCAATCTTCAATGGACGTTTCCACAGGCATGGGACCATCCAAGTGATGAGGCGATCCATCAAAGGACGACGTATCACTTTTGTCATCAAAGATATCGACCATGTTCTCCTTGGGAGTCATGACCGACCCAGCCCCAGAGCGCATGGATCCCATCGACTTGGTAGAGCTGGGTCGCAAGGGACCATTGGCTATGCCCGCCAACGACCCTCCGCTCAGATCAAATTCGAGCGTGGACAGAATCGTAGTGATGGTGTTTTGATGCTGTGGGGGATTCTGTTCCAGCGACTGTCGCTGACGTTCTTCGCGCCGTTGTTTGCGCTCTTGCCGCCTTCGCTTTCGTCGACCCCATACGGACAGGTCATCTTGAAACTCGGCGCGAACAATGCCATTATTGTTGCTTTGGCCCTTCTTACTGCGGCGTTTTCCCACTTCGACATCATCATCATCATCGTCGTCGTCGTCATCCGATAATGCATCTTCCTCATCACTGCTAAACGACTGCGAGCGCCGGGTGTTGCTGCGTCGAGGTGTCTCCATATCATCCCCGCTGGAAGCGGTGTTGACGGTCATTTCCGTGGGTTTCTTCCAGGGGTTCTCCATGTAGCCCCGTTTGGTGCCCCACATGGCGAATAGCCCAAGGGTAATCATAAACGTAATGACAAGTAGTACGGCCAGAATGATTCCAACCGGTGTCTCTTTGGCCGTTTGCCGAGCAATATCTTCCTGCTGGGCTGGCATGCTGCCTGTCTCTGTGAGACCAGATGACGGGCCAACATCCTCTGTGGGAAGTTCCTCTACCGAATCTTCTTTTGGAGCTGGAGAAGAAGGTTCGGGTAATAACTCTTCGCTGGAATCATTGTCGTTACTGCCAGCTTCATCAATCAATGTTTCCTCCTCCTCCGGTGGTGGTTCTACTGGTGTTTCTTCTTCGTCCTCTTCTTCTCCAAGGTTGGTGGTCTCTTGGTCGTCTTCTCCAACGTTGGTAGTGGTTGTCACCTCACCACCTTCAATGACGACTTCCACCAGTTCTCCTGCTTCTGTCATTTCCAATGTATCATCGGGTGTCGGTGCTGTGGTCGGCAAGGCGGATGGTGAAATCGTTTCAAACGTCGTTACGGAAAGTCCAAGTCCATTGTTGACAGCTGGCGTCGGAGGATTCGTTGTGGTCGTTGTTTTGGGTGATTTGGTGGGTGAACTGGTCGGTGACAGAGTCGGCCGAAGCGTAGACGGACACTGTTGGACCAGTACTTGATCAATCATGGCACAGGCAGTGGCGGCGTACTCCTCGGGATAGTAGGAATTGGGAGTGGCAAAGGCGGCCAGCATGGGGACATTGACGGCTTGTAGACAACAGTTGTTTTCTCCGTCAATGCCACCGAATTCATGACACAAACAAGACAACTTTTCAAAGGTTTGCTTGAGCGGTTGATCGTTCAACCACATGTCGATAATGTGACAATCGGCGGGTGCCAAGTCCAACAAGAGATTCACGTATTCGGCGCGACTGATAAAGTCATTCCCTGAGATATCGGCAGCCGTCAGTGCTTCTACGCTACAAATGGGGTTGGCCATCACGTCCTTTTCCTTGGGTGACATGTTGGCCAAGTGACGGTTGGTGGGGGCGCCATGGGATGATTGCACTGTCACTAGTACTCCTAGCAGGAGGAGGAGCCTTGCCGTTTGTCGCACTGTGCTCTTCATGTTGATTGTTTCTGTTTGGTGTGGTGCCCTCGCAAGTAGCTCATCAATGGTGAAAATAAGGAAGGACTCGACTCGTAAAAGGGACTTGAAGTTTTCTCAAATCCGAAAATGGAATGTCGTCCAAAGGGACTACTTGTTCACAAGCTCAATGATGCGGTGGCACCATGCACTGTCGAGAATGATGTGGTTGTTGTTGTTGTTCCAAACTCCAAAGAAGCCAAAAAGCCCCACAACAAACAAGAACAAGGAAGACTGATTACTCGTGTGGATCTGCGAAAGAAAAAAAGAGGTCAAAGTGCTCGATCTCCAAAAGCTGCGACGCCACCGGCCTGGCAGGAAAGCTCATTCCGATACACATAGCAACCCCCAGTTTCAAACAAGATTCGGCTTAAATGTTTTGGATTTCTTTCAAAAAAGTGAATCCCTCGGCCAAAACTGATACTAAAACTGTACAAGTTTGAATTGGAGGGACGTTGGGTCGCGAACCGAGCCACTAAAGGCCAAAACAAATAAAATTCACTCCCGCGGTGGCTGGAGTGCACGATCAACCTCTCTATTGAAAGGCTAAGGGCCTTGGAGAAAACTACCGGTAGCTTGGCGGCACTAGTAGTCTACCATGCATGCCACAAAACCTTACACTATTAATAGCTAGCTAGCACTACGTCACTGCTCAGGGTGGTGGAGGTACGGTGCCTCTATGGTGCCACACGCACCTCTGAGGTCAGTCAGCAGCACGGCACACCGGAACACAGCATCGGATACCGGAAGATACATATAGTTTCAGACTGACTCGACTCCGGGATACCGATACCGGAACAAGCCGGTGCAAATTAGCTACCGTACTATGATCTGTGTGTGTGTAACCATGGAGCCAATGGGTATGCATGTTGCCAGTAGTAAGAAAGTCACGGAACAGGTACTATAAAAGGTGCCAAAGAGCCTGCCCAGAGCTGGTGACTGTGGTAGATACCTGCTCCAAGAGATGGCCCTGGAGATACTAGTACTATACACACCAGTCCTCTTTCCTGGACCCGAGTCCGGCCAAACAACTGGGTCAACCCCAAGATCAGCAGCAGGATGGTGAATAGATGGTACCGGTACCATGTACCATGCCACTATTAATAGCACTATTAATCATTAATACGGCACTGCTTCCAAAGGATGGTGGAGACTGCCACCGGGATACCGGTACCCATAACGGTACAAGTGTGTGCAACCATGGAGCCAATGAGTGTATCAAGGTGACGGAACGGGGACTATAAAAGGTGTCAGAAAAGCCTTCCCAAAACTGGTGGTAGGTCCCTGGTCCAAGAGATGACTGGCCCCAGCCAAAGATATTTCCTTTACATACCGGTACAAAGAAGTCCTCACTGTTGGACCTGAGTCTGACACAACAACTGGGCCCCCTCCAAGACCTACAGCGGGCCTTCACCCAGACCAACACGTCGATCTAGAATCTACTCTAGGTAGTTGCAGACCAACACGTGGATCTAGAAGCTACTCTAGGTAGTTGCAAGGAGTCTTGGCCCAGGAACCGTGAGTTTCAGGCAGGAGCTGGCTACATCATCATGTCTCACACGTGGTCTATCATGAAGAAACGTACTCCAGGACATACGCCTGCTGCAACACCAGCCTCGTATCCAAGGCCTACCGTACATGCAGATCAACATCAGGACCCGCATCTCGTCCAGACTAGTTACGCGAGGCTTACACCAGGACGAACTCTCCCAAGAGAACTCCATGACCAACACGGGCGGAGCTGATCAGTGAGAAGGAATCAGCCATCACACTAAAGGATGCCGGTTTCACGAACTGGGGTGTTTGAAAAAAGAGACAACTGTTCCTTGGGTGGTGGCTGACAATAGCTTCATTGATATTTTGACGCTGCGTGCAAGGCCTAATTGGGAGCCTACGGCAGGTGCCGCAATCAATGCATGTCATCGTTTCGTATTGCGCAAGGTTGGCAGGCCATTGCTACGCAATAGAAAGTGTGAAACGTGGGGCACTATTTGAAACGTGGCCGCGGGAGCTCCAAGAGCTCACTTACTTCATCAAACAGCCAAACACAACCTCCAAGATACCATGTCAAGCTCCCACGTGGACCTCGGCAGAGGAAGCCTGAAATTAATGGGCAAGCGCTGCTCCTGTGTGTGGCCTCCTCCTTCTACACTAAGTACGAATGATGATACCAAGATTCCACACAAGCAGAAGAAAAAGCAAGCTCCCAGACGAAACGAGCGGACTCCCCGCTCAGCTCCTCGAATATCCGATGAACAACGAGGCCTCGTTGGTAGTAGAATCTTCGTATCAAATGCCAACGCCGCTAAGGACCCCGAGCTGCTAAGGGACCTCGACGTGACCGCCGTGATCAGCGTGGGTGGTGGAACTGGAAGCAACAGCTCGGGGGTCCAAGATTTTCTGCATTTTGGAATCAAGGACAGCATAGCGACGTCGTATTTGTCGGTGTTTGAAAAATCAGCGGAATTTGCTCGCCCCATCATTGCACAACGACGCAACATTTTGATTCATTGCCAAGCGGGGATGCATCGATCTCCTGCTGTAGCAGCATCGTTGCTGATACGGTTTGCTGAGCTCTCCGCGACCGATGCCGTGGATTGTATTCGGACGGCCCGAACTGTCGCAGAATTCTCAAGCCACATTCGCGACGAGCTGTTCCTGTATGAAGAAGTGGTTCTTAGAATGCTAGCTTGCCAGCTGTAGACGTGATCTCGATGGGGGGAAATGGGGTAGATGAATGAGTAACCATGGCTGGGGCATCACATGTACGCAGTTCGACTGTGATTGGATGTGAGCACAAGCATCGGTGCAGCCTTGATTGCTTCCTTTAGAAGGGGCTGGGTGTCTTCTAAGCATCCAGCATCGGTGGTATCTAAGACATCTATAGTTGAGGACAAATCGGGCAGATGAATGAGCAACCCTGGGGACTAAAGTGCAGCCTTTTTGCGTGCTAGTTTCCAAAGGGCTGGTTTCCAAAGGGCTGGATGATTTGTACCGTATGCATCAGGCGTGGTTTGCACCTTTAGAAGACATAACATCATTATGGGGGAGCATTCCTGAAAAGCTGTGTGGCAAAATTCACCAGACAATTTTCAGATACTTTGGTAGGGGGAAGTATCCGAAGAAGAGTGAAATTTCAATATGCCGGGGAACTTTGCTCTGTGGATGTGACTGTGATCCATGCCCTGTAGACTAGCTATACTAATTCTTCTGGGAGAGCAAAGGGTGCCTAGAAAAAGTTTTCAGGAACACGAGTCAATTTCTAAGTAGGAGTATCTCAGGGCTTTCTCGATCAACTCTCAATCTTGGGAGGCGGCCAGGATTGGCTGGCTACTGGAGCAAGTGCACCTGCTGTAATACAAGCCTCGAACGAACCCTTTCTACCGGTACACAGTTGGCACTGGCCAGGGAACACGTCATGTCAGCAAGAGCTAGCTAATTATCAAATGCATCTAGAGTTTGATGAGTGGCAGCCATTCTCCATTCCATGTCTTCTAATCATTCACAAGCATTTGCTATACTCATCAGGCGTTCAAGGCATCGGGACTGGCAATATTGCAAGCTTTGTAGGGTGCCGTGCTGATCTCGCTCTTAAACTCCAGCATGCCATTGTTGGAATTGACAGCATAGCTGACAACATTCTTGCCTTCTTGATTTCCCACCACAAACCAGGTACCATCTCGGATTAACTTGAAATTGCGAGGAACCTCTCCTCGAGTCGATTCATGTCCCACTACGGACAACTGGCAATCCTTTCCTTTTCCTTGGACTTGCAAAATGCAAATGACACCGGGCGACGGCGATCGACAACCAACATAGACAAAATTGCCATTGGGATGGAGGGCAATATCCGAAGCACCCCGATGATGTGCTCGGTCCGCCTTGTCGCCATCTCGCAGCAAATAGACAGAACGCACTTCCTTCAGTATTCCAGTTTCCACGTCAAAGGAAGCGGCTGTCAACGTGTAATTCAATTCATTGACCACAAAGAGCGTTTCCCCCGTGGCATCCCAACAACAGTGACGGCATCCCGCGTCGGCGGGCATGGTCAAATGTCTCGTGCCATCATCATTGGATAGGAGTCCTCTCTCCGCATCAAACCCAAAGACAAACACTTTGGACAATCCCAAATCACACGCCACGACAAATTTATTGGTTGGATGGGGGATAATGCAATGCGCATGAGACGCTTCTTGCCGATCCTGTAAATCTGCTTGGAGGGGTCCTTCCAAAGTCTTCGAATCTGTGGGTTTTCCTAGACTCCCATCTTGTTGGACCGGTAGGACCGAAACGGTGCCCGAAGAATAATTGGCCGCAAACAACCATTTTCCACTTGTGTCCAATTGGCAGTAGCAAGGGTGTCTCCCCTCGGAGCTCAATGGACTGCCGAGTGGCTTGAGATTGGATCCATCCAACTCAAAGGCTTGGGCTGTGCCAGGGTCATCTTCCAAGCCAATATACACCACATGACCACTATTGCTTTTTACATAACGACTTATCCATCCTGGGTTGATGCCACCATCAATGGAAATGGGCTTGCCTGCTTCCGATAGAATGCCCGTGTCCGTCGCCAGTGACAATCGAAGTACCGCCTTTGTAGGAGAATCGTCGTCTCCAAAGCAGGTGCCTACATGGATCAAAACAGTAGTATTGGACATCTTCTCTGTTTCTGGAAGATGAGTTGTGGGAGGTTTGCCAAAGGTTGGGATCTTTTGAAAAATGAGATGGTGCTTTTCTTTAACGAATCTATTCGAATGTTCATCGAGTGATTCATTGAATCGAATTGATCTATTCGAACGGGTCGAGAAGGCAAAAGGGACCAAACCAAAACACACTCCGGAAGGAAACGATTTGCTCTCCATGCAACACTTGATGTAGCCACATGTAGCTAGCTATCATACTACCTCCTGTGACAGGGAGAGGAATTCAGCAAAGGCTCAAGTTACCAGGCAATCGACAGACATGGAACTGGCCTGACCTTGATCGTCCGCTGCAGTGGCTACGTAGGACCCACAGGGTTCCCGAGCAGGAATGGCGCGCAATAAACAAGCCGAAACGCAGAAGCGGCACGGAAAGCCTCTTCCTGTAATGCATGGCATAGACCGAGGCCACATCATCCTTAACCAGAAGCGGACGATAAAGTTGAGCTTATAAGCCAATAATTGCCTCCACTCTACACCGAGCATGAAACACATTTTTTGAGAAGTTACTGGTGGAAGGGACTGATGGACCATCTCAGTCTTACAGACAGCCTCATCAAGGAACACCGGATAGGTGAGGAACTTAGCATCTTTCACCATGATAACACTAAAGAACTTCGCAGAGGTGGATGGAACCTCCAACGCGTCGATGAACTCCTGAGAGAGCGTGAGCGTACGAAGGTAATCCAAGAAGAAGGATACTGTACCAACCAACCAATCTGTCTCGTCCTTTGTGGTCTTGAAGTCGCGATGGGGAATGGTGAAAGAAGTAGCAAGAAGGTTGATGTCGAAACCCACGCCCTTAGTCCCGTTCTTACGCTCCTTCGGCTCTGTCTTGGCCTGCTTGGTATCATCACCTTTGGATCACGCAAACGGAGGATTGTGGCATTCGTCATTGCCTGTTAGATCGCCGGGGTTTCATGAGGCAACACCTTGGACCACTTCTGCAAAATTGGAGCAATATGATCTTAGAAGGCTACCGGTAGCTTTGCAAGCTGTAGACGATGACAGCGGTGATCTCGATGCAGGCAAATCGGGTAGATAGATGAATACCGTAGCAACCCTGGGGCCTAAGATAGCTCGACTGTGTTTGCTTGTTCCGACGGGGCTGGATGATTATTTGTAAGCATCTGGCGTGGGCTGCACGGGACAGCCATCTTTACACCAATTGTCAAACCGCAACTCTCAGTCCCTTGCAATAGTCAGATTCGGTTTCCAGAGGTGCAGTTCTTCTCGCCGAAACCAACCTGTACAAGATGAATAGCTTGTCCGAGATGAATCGAATCATCCTGCCTTCATCAATCCGACGAACTACAAGACCACGGAAAGCAAGACACACCCATCTTTTAAAAAGCAAGTAGTAAGTGATCGACCCGGACTTTGGTCTCAGAGGGCCGTGTCGAATCTCAAAATGCGACTGAGTCGCTTAAGCAAAAGTCGTCCTTCCAAACACTTGGTCCTGCCATGTGCAACTGCCGCTGGTAAGATGAAAGGGTCCGTGCCACTTCGTTAGTACATGTAGGAAGCCGAACCAATAACAGCTCACGAGCTTCCCTCCATACGGTACTTCTGGGCCTAGCTAGCAGTCATGCCTTGAACATAATATCTGTCTTCCTTGTGCATACTGAAGCGAGGGGCATGTTTTGAATTGCCACCTGCCGACTAGCTAGTACGATACTGCAGGACCCACGTACGGTACCCATGACGACTGTGGACGTACCGTAGACTAGTCGACAAAAAACAGTCTCGTTTTGGGTACCGTATCTATCTATGCCAATTGATCAAAGTCACCATGCACTAGCCTTTTACAAAGCTGGTTGTTCGTATTTTGCTACAATGGCGACACACCAGACGAGGGGATATACGGATTCACGAGTACAAAACATTCCTTTGAAACCCAAGGCTATTATTGCTACACTCGAGCCCAGCTCGTCTAGCCAGATGCTACCGATTTGATTCGATTCGTCTATATACCAGCACGAGAATTGTTGCATTGATTCCTGTTCCGACATGTGTGCGATATGGAATAGCCCCACCTTTTTGTATCTAGCTGCTGTTTGTCGTCGTTTTTCCATTTGAGTTCTGAATAATGATGGTCCAATAATTATAGATCGAAACTTGTTTTCATTCACTCTTCAAATTGCATCCGATTCTCTTTATTGCAGCTTATATTCAGCTTTGAATTCTGCGGTCTGTCTCTGCCGTTCTGTCAATCGTTCACGCAATGTTGTAATGGTCTTTTCCAACTGTCCATGAAAAAAAAGAGGGAAAAATAAATTAATTGAAACAAGGGAGCTGTGTGTGAGCCATAACAAGCCAATATTAATAAAAAAATTCTGCAGTCCTTCTGGACTGTATTGAATCGAATCAATCAATCAATTCACACACTCACATTCTCTCGATTCTCTTTCACGGACGGCAAGACTTCCTTGACCGTGCGTTCCACCAGCACTTCACCTACGAGTCGGTAGGCTCTTCGATCTGGATCCAAGGGCGTGAGGGTCTCTTCCACGAGCTTGTGTTCATTGCGTTCCTGTTCCAACTCGGCCACCTTGCTCATGAGCTGTTGGCATTCTTGAGTCAATTGGCGGTATTTCTGAACCACTGCTGCTTGGGACAGCAGGGGCTGCTGTGCTGGTGTTGCGGTGGTGGTCGCCATGGTCGTTCGTTGTTTCTTTTTTGTGTTTTTGTGGTTGTTTGGCTGTTGGACCGAGGCGAAAGATCCTGGCATCCCAAAACGGTTGACTGGCAGACGGAAGAGAAACGCCGACGTAGCTCGGCTCGGTTTACATAAATGGTACAACAGGCTTATACAAGAGTACGATTGATGCCTTTTAGGAAAAAAGGGTTTTTAGGTGGGGGAAAAGACTTCTGTCCTGTTCCCACGCAAAGATCTTTCACCCAAATTGAACAACCACGTCTTGATGCTGCCCTCACTCTTCCTGAAGAAGGCTCGAAGGCTCCTCAGAAGCTCATGATCCTAGCAGACAGGAACAAAGGCAGTGTCAATATGGTCATGACGAGGATACCCTTCCTCCTCCTTGTTGCGGCTGCCTTGGAAGCAGTTTGTATCCAGGCAATCGGGGATGCAGTAGTGGATGGATCATCTCTTAATTCCCAGCCGAGACGGCGTTTGTTGCTAGTAGAAGATCCTGCAAATGCTACCACGACTGCCACGAAAGGAAACCGAACCGGCGCTAATTTTCTTGCTACCTACAAGGGTCGCTTTCAGATCATTGCCGATGGATGTGATGGTCCTCCTCCCGTGGTCCAAGCAGCATGTGGCGGTAGTCACATCAATTTGATTTCTGTGAGCGACGTCAACAACAACCTTGCCTGCCAAACTTCTGACGAGGCAGACTTGCCAGATGGCTTTGCATCCGGATTGACGTGCCAAACATTGTGTGTTGATGATGATCATGATGACACTGATGATGATGATGATGATTGTGCTGCGTCCTTTGCCAACAATGATGGAAGCTACACGGTTGCCGAAGGACCCTGGGCAGAAGTTGTCTATGAATGTTTGGGCGTCACAACTAAAGAAGAAGTAGATACGCTGTTTCAATTTTTGGATACGGGAGGAGGTACTTGTTTCTGGAGACTCTTTTTCGACAATCAACTGTATCATTTGGCACAGCTGGGTGTCATGTGTTCATATACCAGCACGAATAATGAGTTTCTTCAGAATGGGTTTGATGATCTTCTGGATGGAGAGTTGGCCATTAGTCGGGCGGAAAGCATTCCCTTTGATTTTGACGATGCCTACTTTGAATGTAGCCAAGGCGATGAAGCCGCCATTGATTTTGAAGGTCCTTACCAAGATGAGGTTCTATGTGCTGTTGGAACGAATTGCAACGGCGAAGACTGTGATGTGTCCTTGCACACCATAAATATCCATTCGGATGTGCATCGATTTGATAAGGAGATGTGTATCACTTTGTTGAATTCGAACGCGACAATTATGGAGCAAGAAGAAAACACAAGTAGTGAAACCATTGCTGCTGCACCCCATGGCAGCTACACCATGCGATTCCAAGCAGGATGGTCGCTGCTCTTCAAAAACCCAGACTTTTGGTATGACATTGATGACATTCGATGTGAACTTTTTGGAGAGGACACGGATTTCATCTTTCCAGCCGAAGAAATCGATCCCTTACCGCCCATTCAAATGAGCTGCCCCAATGGAGTCATTGAACGAGTTGAAACCCAAGATGGGTTGGCGGTTGATTGCGAAAAATATCGTGAGGATACTCTTGAATGCACCTATACAGACGGTGCAGATAATTGGGTTACCTTGATCAATTCGTTCACAACCGTTGTCTATGTAAGTCAGTCATTCTGCGCACGAATCTTTTGATGTCATCACATATTTGCTCACATGTTTTGTACCGCGACTGCTCTTCTGTGCCTTCTTCTGTGCCTTTGATCTGCTCGTGTATCTTGTCCAGGAATGCACTACAAACTCTGAGTACCCGACAACAATCGTGACATATCCCAACAACACTATTACCTGTTTAGATGATGTTTATGATGATCTGGTTGTGGGGCATGCCTTGCAAATTGGACTCTATTGTCGCTCAGACGACAATTCACAGGATGGTGACTACCAATTCGATGATTTCTACTATGAGTGTGGACCAGAAGATCAATATCTACTCTTGGATGGCAATTCGGATAGTTTGGGAGATCGATTCACTTGTCTCTCTGCAGTTTCCATTCCGACATCGGACCTAATCATGACAGTAGGAGGAGTGAGCATGATGACTGAATGGCGTAACAATACGACTGGGGACAGCAGTGGTGGCACGCCCAATCCCCTCTGTTATGAGTTTTCATCGGAAGGAAGTGCAATGTTGGCCAACAATGCTACAGACCCAGCAATCAGCGGTAACGCGACGACAGCTCCATAGATATGCGGTGTCACCACCTCACCAGGGTCTGTGCAGAAACGAGCTCTCGTATTTGCACCAGGGTCCATTTTCACTCTTTGGGGGGCCTCCAAGCGGAAACACATGTACTTGCCAGTTTTTTTGTCCAGGGATGCGAACACAAACCAACGAAACAATGATTCTTGGCTTGGCCTGTCCAACAACTACACTCGAAACTGTCCGGCAACCATGCTACGTGTACCAATCCATACTGCCACTTTTCTCATGTACAAGCAACACCCGGCTGGAGTAGAGTAGATATTACATTCAAGTTTTGCCAATCGTTTTGAAGATCATTCCTTATATCTTTTACTATGTTCATCCGTCATTCATTTGTTTGGCCTCGAGCAGCAGTCTCAGCGACAGCACTTCATCTTCTAATGACGCCACCTTTTGTAGAAGTGTAGCAGCACCCTCCGCAAGTTCGGCACTATGAGCAGTAAGGGAAGCATTCTCGGCTTGCAGGAAGGCATTCTCAGCTTTCAGAGTGTGATAAGCAGCCGTCAACTTTTCCGCGGCTTCCTTCTCTCCTGCATCTGTCGTTGCCCTGCCGTTGCTTTGTGGGGCCGGTTTTTGCGTTCCTATACCGGGCAGTTTGTCGTGGTACTCGGACACAAGGTAGTACAAAGGATTCAAATCCACTTCCTCGTCCAGAAGACGTTCATCCTGGCACAGGCACCCCAATGCTGCCATTATGCGACACCATTGCTCTGGTGTGGCGGTCATCGGATCAAATGTCCACAATGGCTGAAACGACCGATCCAAGAGGGATGTTTCTGGGAACTCGAGGCGTCCTTCCGAAACTTTCCCATCGTGGCGGTCCAAGAGCTCCATCCGAAGGGCTGCCGGGATATTGTCCACACCCTCAAAGCCGTTCGTCAAACTCACGTCGATATCGTGACACGCATGGTCTACATTGCGAGACAAAGTGTCGCTCCTGCACTGAAAGCTGAGACTGAATGCTTTGTACGTGACATTGGTTCGGTCTTTGAGAATGCCATGCAAAAACGGTACTCCTGTTTTGGTTGCAGCCACCAGCGACTCGAAAAAGTTAAAACGAAAGTGGGGTATCCCCGTTGTCTGATTGCTGCAATATAGCACCAGATCATTCATGTTGGAGAACGTGGGCCGGAACTCGATCAATTGCATGGGTTCTCGCATGGAACGCGCCAGGACTGCTGAGGTTTCCTCGGTGAGCCCCTTGGATGATTTTTCTCCGGTGGAAATGAATAGTTCTTGCAAGGTGTCACTGTTTTGCAATACCACTGTACGAATGACGGGATCCCATTTGCTTATTTGCATGGAATGGACGCGATTCGAGGAAGGACTCCAAGAACCGCCATCTTTCCAGCAGTCAAACGATTCCAGAGAGTTCCGTGTCCGAGATAAGGCTGTTGCCCACTGCTCAAAGCCATCGTGGTCCCCTTGCACTATTCCAGCCATGGTAAAGTACTCAAGCTGTCTGTTCTTTTTGAAAAAGGCAGTTAGTGCCTCTACTGGAAAGGATGGTTTCATTTTGCTGGACTTGTTGGAAGCGACAGTTTCAACATGTAGGCCAGTTATTGCAGGCATCTTGCCCAGAGCTCGAGCGAGCTGTACGAGTGATTTTTGGCTGTAAGATGATTCATCCGTATACTTCAATCGGACCTCCGCGATGTAATCCACCCGACCGCTTTGGATCATGAGAGTGAGCAAGTCGATGTCACTCTTGAGACAGCGGCCTGGGTCACTGATGACTCGAACACCCAGAGCATCATCGCCGTCCGCAGCAAAGAACGTGAGACAAGTGAATAGGTGGGCATCTTCCTTGAGGAATTTGGCAACATGATCCAGCGTGATGTTGGCCATGATCTCTTCTTGCAGTAGGGTCCCTTTGTGGCTCCAGTAGACAACATGAATGGAACCGCAACGAGCTGGAAGCACAACGGTGACCGAGGGAAAGCAGGGCTGAGCGGGCCAGCCAGTCGTGCTTCTCAACTGGTCTAAGTGAAAGGGCGTTCTTACCCACACTCACCCACGCTCAACCTTGGGCAAAAATGCTGACCTCTACTGCACTACGGTACCGGTAGCCTTCTTCGTACCGATACCGGTACCGGTATGGGTACCAGGTACTAGCTAGCTATGGTAGTGTGGGCACCTTGGTGGTAAAAACCCTCCACCTCCAGGGTGCGCACCTCGCCGGCAAAATCTGCACCTCTGGGAAATCTGCACCTCTGCCTCCTGGATGGTTGCACTTGTGGCAAGAGTCTGCACCTCTACCGGTACGGTACTGGGTGCACAGCGGCAGCAAACTACTCCACCTCTAGGGTGTGCACCTTTGGTGTAACAACTAATTATAGAACTTAATCCCTCCGGGGACTTTGTAATTCCTAAGTTAGCAACACCTTTGGGGTAACAACTCTCACTACGCACCTCCTTGCAGGAACCCATCGGGCAATTCTGCACCTCTCTTGCGGGGACCTCCGTGGCAAATTTAATATTCTGGAGTTGGTTGGTTAACTTTCCACCGGTTTTGGTAAGGTTGGATAACATGGAATGCCCGAACAGAGCCCACCTGGAGTCTGGACGCGCAAGTAGAAGGCAAGCACCCAAAGGGATCTGCCAGTAACCTCGGCCGAAACATTCACCGGTACTGCCAGCTTGTGTTTTGAAACCAATCCAGTTCAATCAGTGACGAGGGACTGTCAGTCGTGTCTCCGTTGTCTTGGCATGAAATCCCAATCATGCATGTACTTCCAAAGTTGATGCCATCCTTTCCAACCAGACTAACCTGTACAACAGAACTACCGCAACAACAAAACTCACAATTAACCCCCCACCTAACTAAAAACACCGTCATCGATCATGTCATCCCAATCTTCAATCTCTTCTCAATCCACCACCGCGTCGGCCGCTGTGCTTTCGGTCCAGACCGCCATTTTGCAGTTGGGAATTGTCAAGGAAGAGCTAAGCAACCACTCGCAAGTCGAAATGGATGTATTGAAACTTCAGGACGAAAAATTCTCGCTTCAAACCTCTATTTGGACACTCCAAAAGGAAAAGAAGTCGTTGGAAGAATCCATCACGGAGCTGCAACACCAGGAGACGCTCGCAAAAGACGATGGGTCTTCGCAGGGAAGCGACGATTCCACCCACTTATCCGCAGGCATCCCAGAACATGTCGTTGTACCAAAAGGCAAAAGCAACCTTGAGAAAACACAGAAGATCTCCCCCACGAAACGAAACGGCTCCCCCAAAAAGTGGCGACGTATGATTCGCACCAACAGGCTCCGATCCATCTACTTCCGTTGAAGAAGGAGAAACCCAAACGTCGCAATATCATCGGCTGAAGAAGGAGCATCGCAACACACACACACAACATCCGGCGTCATCACTAGGCTTTCACAAAAAACTAATTTATCTCAGTTTTAAATGGTTGATTTTTCTGGTTCTCTCGCTGCTGTCTCTTCGGGCTCAAGTTTTAACGAAAACGTTCATTTCTTGTGTCAAGAGGGTGCCAGCCAGCATCTTGGCTATTATCCATGCCGATTGCAGCAGTAGGTGGTGGAAATGGAGCTAGTGGTCCGTCTATTGCTTCAGAAGTTGAGTTTAATGTTGGCATGTTAGTTCCATTTGGCGTTCCCAAAGAAGGAGAGTCTGGTGTTGCTCCAAGAGTTGGAGTGGGTGTTGGTCCTGGAGTTGGTCCTGGAGTAGATTGTACTGGTGTGGTTGGGCCTGGTGTTGCTTCCAAGATGGATCCAGGTGCTGTCGGATTTGGTGTTGATTTCATGGGAGCCTCCAGCTTCATGTATTCCATCAAGTTGACTTGACCCTCGTGGCCACTTGACCAACTGTGTTACCTGCAGCTTCGCAGCATTGCCAATGACGCCACTAATTCTAGAGTTATACACGTACGGTAACAGAACGTCCAGGAAAACACACAGGACATGAGAACTGCAACAAGGCATGCTGTGCTGATAGCTGCTAGTATTGACTGACTGTCACTCGGCTCTGGACGTGATCATCAGCATGTCATCGGGAAAGGAGGACCAAAAAGAATCGAATCGAATCAGAATCGGAAATTTTGGATTTGAATTGAGTCCTCAGTCCTCTTTGTTACGTCACGCAATAGAGGCTCGATTTGTTTGCAAGTCAGCACAGCTGTACGCACTATTGTATTCTTGTGTTTGGGGAAGGACGAGGATGTCGCAGGAAGCATCAATCTGCAGAAGCCAACCTTCAAGCCATGCATGTAGCTATGTAGCTGCTCGCTATGTGATCCAACCGAATACTCTAGTAGCTCTCATGTTCTCATTGAGCTTCTTTCCAAGATGTTCCCAGCGGTATTGATCAGGAGGTAAGGAGCTAACCGGCACTTTTTGAGCCACGAAGGGTGCAGCTTGTGCCAAAAATTTCTCTGGGAGAAAGCGCTGTGAACTGCGGTATCATACCCTACAGTACATGTTACAGCTTGGTCTGGTTGTTTAGCTGCAAGGCAAAAGGGCGTTGGTGGTTGGACTGTTGGGGGCAAGTCATTATGCTAAGCAACAATGTCCATGAGAGGAAAAAGAAGTCGACATGGATGTCTTTTTCCGTTCCCAAGCTCAGGAAGCATACGGTGCACACCTCCTCTGCTGAAGTAAGCTGGCAAATAGCAGCGAAATACTTGAGCAAGCAAAGAAAGAGAAGAGAATCATGAACATCGTTGACAAAACCTACTGGAAGTTGTTACAAGTACCAGTGTACCGCCGGTACCTTGTACTAGCTAGGGCAATCCTCGGCTCCTGCGCTCCAGCAATCAATTCTGCCTGCTTTGGAAGAAACGGAATGAGAATTGATGAAACAAGCATCTCAGACCCAAGTCCATATTTCCATATTTTCCTTTTGAGGCAATTCGACCAGAGAAGCGTTCTCCCAACGCATTCCAAGAAGTCGCGGCCAAATGCTGCTGGGCAAGTGGCAGTAGCTATGATAATCTCAATCCCTTGCCAGATGCAAGCTATCATACCGGTACCGGTGGTACAGCTACATGTAAAGGCGGAGAAACAGTCTCCTTGATTGAGGCGCGAAAAGAGCCGAACAAAGTGGGACTACAAAAACTTGCAGGGGTGCAAGTTGTGACCTGACGTTCTTAGCTCCTTCTTTTTCGAGGACTGAGCTGTTGAAGCACCGTAAGAAATAATTAACATTGAGAATACGGACATACCAACGCATCGTCTTGGTTTAAATGACTAGCTCAGTTGAATTTTTTTCAAGAGCTTGCTCTTAATTAAGTCTGCCTTGAGCTTGAACTACGATAGCCAGACATTCATTTTCCCCACGGTGACTTTGTTAAGCTCTTTGTTAACCCCGTTTTCACCATTGACATCAATGCCAATCTCAGTGGACTTCCAAATTGCTTCGCCATTATTTAAAAACTAATTTACCTGAACTAGGATTGATATTCTTGTCGTGCTCCGTAAGAAGAAGCTTTAAGTCTCGAGGAGTTCACTACTGCAAAGTTTACTTAAAAACCAGTGTTTGGTGTTTGGTGGAATGTCAGCATGTTCTCCTCGACGAGACGATTTCTGCAAAGAGTGACTGATTTTCGTTGATCTGCTTTCTCCGACTGCCAAGTTTCCGATTCTCACGTTCCCATCGGAAAAGTCGGTGTGTTTGAAGGAGTTGCTTCAACCAAAACCGGTATATACAACAGGGCGGGTTTTGCAAGAGTTGGAGGGTCGGCTGTTCCGCAAAATAGAAACGCGCTGAACGCTTTCCTCTCATTCCTCACTTTGCTTTTCCGAGCAAATTTTGCATTCTAACTTCTCACATCCATGTGCAACATGACATCCTCCCTGCCGCCCTCTGGCCCATCAAGTGGCCCAACTTTCTTCGACTTTTCCTCCTTTCAATTGGAGATAGTCAGCGATCACCACAAATCACACAAGAAGCGCCCTGTGGAATCTCAGCTGGAATCTCTCTCCATGGAAGACTCATCGCATTCGCTACAGAGTGACTGTCGATGGAGCTCGAGCTGCCCCTCTGTGGATAAGAGTCCTGTGATGGGAGCTGCCCGCCTCCGATGGCCCGAGAGGACTCCCTCTTTCACCGAGATTGATCAAGAGGATGAATGGTCGTTGTCCTCCGGATCCGAGGACGCGATGGCAAAGTCCGACCCGGGAATCTCCAGCCGACGCGGTGAAAGGCAAGTGTCGCCAGTACGAACCCACTCCAGTCGACACAACAATGCTCTCAGAGCATCATCGGGGCGAGCACCACAGCGTCCAAGAAGACAACCATCCCTCACGGGCAAGTTGGATACAGGTGACCATGCTTTTCAGAGGCAGCAAACCGCTCTAGTCGCCTGATCAAGAGCACACCGTCAACGGGACTGCAGGTAGGGCAACTCACCTTTTTCCTGTTCATAACAAACTCACAGTACAAACCAGGGCACACGACGCATTGCCCAAAACGACCCAGCTAGAGAAATCATTTCCATAACATTATAGTAGTTCGCACAGCACGATACCAAACCCGTCATCTGCTTTTCTCCTCATCTGCGTTCTGGTATTCTGCATCAGGAGACTAATCTTGCTCTGTCAATCCTTACGGCCGATTTCTGAAAGAAAGCTGCAACACACTGGCAGCAACTTATTCGTACGACGTAGGTGGTGACCACGATTTAGTTGTTCGCCAGCTAGCACCTCAGGAATTCTCTTTCGTGAGCCGCCGTGGTATGGGCAGATAAGGCCCAGGCTTAGCCTCGTCAATCCACTCCCCCACCAAGGAGACATGACACGGGACCAAGCAACGAAAGTCAGCATCATTATGGCAACACCAGCAACAAAAACCGATCACAGCGGCACTTACAACAACCATTGTTCCCCGTGACATGATATGGCCTCTCTTTGGCTTGCCTTAAGTTGTGCGAGAATTCATGTCTTTATCCCATGTACAGTCGTCCTTGAGATCGCCAAGATCATCAATCGAGCTTCCCGGCGCTGGCACTTCCGGAGCCGGATTGGACAGGATCAATGCCAGGGAGATGATTGTTTGCCGAGACCTGGGTTGCGGTATGTAGTATGTAGTGCAGGAGATGAGCTAAGACAGCGCAGTATTATGAAAGAGAGCCACTCTATTCGCAAGCCCTTACCCATTTCTTCGGCGATGATGCCGCCACACAGGCATTGTGCGGTAGTTGTGGATGCTAGGATTGTACCACGCATCCCCATCGCCTTCAACCCGTGGAAGCTTCGGCCACAGCAAAGATTGGATGCTACCCTTGACTGTTTCTCGGTCTACACAGAACTGAAGGGACTGCTTTTGGAACTGAAGCAGTTCGCTGCCAAACAAAAGTAAATCTAAAAGTGATAGTGCGCGTCATTGGCGTATGACTGCAAAATAGGGTTGCAAAAGAGGGTTCCCGTAGCCACTGGTTCTTACATATGGAGCAACAAATACTAAACAGATACGTTAAGGAGCGAGGGGGGCGAAGCTAGGCAGAGCAGTGACTAGACCATCAACCATGAGCATCTCTTCATGACCAAGATTTTCGCAGTGCGCAATTAAACTCAACATGGTGGTGGTGCCATGCAAGATCGAATTACAAGATCTTCGAAGACCCAGGGCGAGGGGTCTCTCTTCGGAACGGATGTAGGACAGGTCATGGATTGTGCTCTGGTTAGAGTGAGGAGACGAGCACCCGTCGCTCTTCCGGAAAGGCAGGCTTTCTCCAGACTTTCTCATTCGGAGATGTTCTGAAACCACTCCTAGACTCTTGCCAACCCAAACGCCCTTCATGCTGGCCTTGGTCAAATCCTCCGGAAGAACCTCTTTAAAGTATCGTGTCATCACATTGGAGAACCCAGGCTCCATTTGGCTTTGCCCACCCAGTCCCTTGGATTCACGGGTTGACTCCAAATGCAGCGAGTTTTGGGGAGGCTTTGGCTTGTGAGTTGTGTTCTTGCATAGAGTCATTGATCTCGGACTTCATCTTTTTCAGGGCCGTTTTCCATTCCGAGTTGCTCAGCGTGAATGGTGGCACATTGACTGCTCGATTGGAAAGCGAGTAGACCGGATACCCATCATCCGAGTCTGATTTTTCTGCAGTGAGTGAGCCATGTAGATCCGAAAGAGCAAACGGGAAGATATTGAACCACGATCCAAGCAATTTGTTGAACGACGCTGCACCAGTCAACTTGAGCCGGCCCTTGGACCGCGGCCGAACATACACCTTGACGGTGAATGTCTAAATCATGCTGGCTGGTAAGACAACAATAGCTAGTTGGTCAAAGCAAAAGGAAAGAAAGCAAACGACTTACCCCTGTCTTTTCCGTTTTGTCGAAGGTTGCGGTGATGTCATATGTCAAGATTGATTTCGTCCCTTCTGTGGTCGGTGTAGGTGGCTTGTGTGCACAGAATCCTTCAGCCTCAAAGTGTTAGAGCTGATCAGATCGGATTCGTTCTTGAGATGAATGCCTTCGGTCTCGTCCACCGAACGCTCGATGAACAGCAGTCCCCAAGACGCACGACAGCAGAGGAGCACGGAAGGGGAGCAAGGTTTAGATCATGAGAAATATGAAAATGTATCTGTTACTCTTTTAAACATCTAAATGAATTGCCGAATAAGCCGGGATTATGCATCTGACCATGTGAAGCTTGCTTGTCTCTTGGCTTGTGGTGCCTTATCCTTTACTGGGACCAAGAGAACCAGCAGATCAGAGAACTCCCACTATGAACAAATGGCTACGCACTTCCATTCGCTGGTGTCTAGCTAGAACCAGGACAGTGAAAGCAGCAGAGTGCCGATCAGTGTCAGCACTGTGTAGCTGGAACTTGGTACCGAGATACTCCCTGAGCTACTGCTTGCACCAGCGCTGTCTCCTGTACCGCTGGGATCCGTGGGTGGTGCTGAACCTGTACCTGTTTCTGATTCACCACAGCAGAAAGGGCCGATAACGTCGTTTTGTACTTCTGTACAAAACGTACTGTTGGTTATGAATGGCAACCTGTTGACCCAATCAGAACATGGGGCACCCCAGTTTGGTACAAGCGTTGTCTGTGCCGTCTCCGTTTGGTATGGCCTGCCAGGCGGGCAAGGGCTATCACAAACGGAAGCGGAACTTCCAGCACTGTTGGCATTTTCCAAAAACTCATCCGAAAGGCATCCGCAGAACCCTTGAACGTCATAGCCCAAAGAAACCTCGAGGCCGGTCTTGTACTCATTACATCGTGACGATGGCACCGTGGCGATAGTGTCTGCAATGGCCCCGCAGGTTTCTCCGGTTCTTGAAAACTGAGCGCTAGGACGAGACGGCGGCAACCCGTTGTCACACAGAGTACACGGCGGGGCAACTCCTGGACATCCACACCAAAATCCATAAGTTTCTTCAATGACACGACAGGTATCCTCTCCGTCCACAGCTGGGAGGTTAAGAACATCAGCACAGGTCAGTTCAGAGTTGGGCAGCCGCTTGGAGTTATCGAACTGTCGCGATGTAACGAGCGAGGTATCTGCGCCGAGGCAAATGTCTCCGCAGACATCACCGACGACTTGGGTTGCAGTACCTTGAATTGTGCCAGCGTTTGTCAAGGGGCACTCGCAAAATGCCACGGCAGTGGCTCTCAGCAGGATACAGTCTTCAAACGGAGGGCTTGTCCATGCAGCAATCTCCCAATCTGCACACGAGACGTTGTCCACCTTGATGTTTGGGTCGACGACGTAACCAGGATCGTCACAAAAGACGCAAACTCCAGAGTTTCCACTTTGCTCGGGAGGGTAGACGGTGCCACCTGTTGGATCAGGCTCCACCGGCGTAGAAGGCACCGGTGCTGGCGTAGCAGGCACCGGTGCTGGTGTAGCAGGTACTGGCGCTGGCGTAGCAGGCACAACAGGAGCATCTGTAGGGCTGGGCTGTTCTTCAGCATTTACATTGTCCAAGTTTGATCCGGTATCGACGTTGCTTTCACTGCCGGTGGGTAATTCGCGTGTGGTAGTTGGCATGGGAGTCGGAAAAGGCGTTGGCAGTGGCGTTGGCACATCAGTGGGTCCGGGAGTGGGTCGGGGACTGGGCCAAGGAGATGGTTGAATCGATGGGGCTTCGCTGTCGGTACTGTCCTCACTCTCACTCTTCTCATCCTTGTCTTTGTCCTTGTTCTTACTATTTCCCTTGTAGTATTCAGTTGGTTCAAAGGTTGGGAAATCGGTGGGTGAATACGTGGGACTGCCCGTAGGCTTGTTGGTAGGATTGTCAGTTGGTTCAAATGTGGGAGGTTCCCTTGCCAGAAGGAGCTCTTCAGTCGGCCTGGGAGTGGGCGATACTATTGGAGCCCTGGTGGGAAAGTTGGTTGGGTATCCTGTAGGCCTCCTAGTAGGATTCAGGGTAGGTCTCCTACTTGGTCTGAAGGTGGGGCTGCCGGTGGTTGCTTCTGGAGTTGGCCCAGGTGTAGGCTCGGGAGTGGGATTCGCGGTTGGGAAAGGCGTGGGCCCAGGTGTCGGATTCTCTGTTGGAAGAGGTGTCGGATTCTCTGTTGGAAGAGGTGTAGGCCCGGGCGTTACTGGAGCCAGAGTCGGGTCTGGTGTAGGAGCGAGGGTAGGATCAGGTGTAGGCAATGGGGTGGGCTGATTTGTTGGGGCAGGTGTGGGCATCTGGGTTGGAGGCCTTGTTGTTGGCCTTGGAGTGACAACAATGGCCTCGGTTACAATAAACGTTGGAAATGGCGAGGGCTTTTTGGTGGGAACTGGCGTAGGATTCAGCGTTGTAGGTGGCAAAGTAGGTTCAAGTGTTGGCATTGGTGTTGGATTTAGAGTTGGACTTGGCGTTGGTCGCAACGTTGTGGGGATAGGGGTGGGACCTGGGGTTGGTGACTTGGTTGTTGGAAACGGTGTGGGATTGGGGGTAGGAAACTTGGTTGTTGGAAAAGGTGATGGTGGGTTTGTTGGTGATCCTGTTGGAGGATTTGTAGGTGGGTTTGTTGGAGGATTTGTTGGTGGGTTGGTGGGAGGCTCGGTTGGGGAAAGGGTTGGAGCCCTCGTAGTTGGTCTTGGCGTGGGATTTGGAGATGGGTTTTGCGAGGGAGCCATGGAAGGAGACACAGTGGGGCGATCTGTGGGTTCTTTTGTAAACTGTCCCAAGTTCTCGGAGATCAATAGCTCTGTGACTTCAGAGGTCGGTTCGCTTGTGGGCATGTCGCTGGACCACGTTGGGAAGTCAGTTGGATCCAAACTTGGGATGGTCGAAGGGGACGAGCTCGGTCGGGGTGTAGGCCTATTTGTAGGATTGGGGGTTGGAGCTTTGGTAGTGGGAGATGGGGTTGGAGGTGGTGTGGGTCGCAATGTGGTGGGAAAAGGAGTGGGACCAGGGGTAGGAGATTTGGTGGTTGGGGAAGGTGTGGGGTTGGGTGTAGGTTGCTTGGTAGTTGGGAAAGGTGTGGGAGGTGGTGTGGGGTTATTGGTGGGATTGGGGGTGGAGCTTTGTAGTGGGAGATGGGGTTGGAGTGGTGTGGTCGCAATGTGTGGGAAAAGGGGTGGGACCAGGGGTAGGAGTTACTTGGTGGTTGGGGAAGGTGTGGGATTGGGTGTAGGGCGCTTGGTAGTTGGGAATGGTGTTGGTGGGTTTGTTGGAGGCTCTGTTGGGCTTCCAGTTGGTCGCCTTGTGGTGGGAAAAGGTGTTGGGTTAGGTGTGGGCCGCAACGTTGTGGGAAAAGGAGTGGGATTGGGGGTAGGGACCTTGGTAGTTGGGAAAGGTGTGGGATTGGGTGTGGGACGCTTGGTGGTAGGGAAAGGCGTGGGATTTAGGGTAGTTGGGAATGGTGTTGGTGGGTTTGTTGGGGGCTCTGTTGGGTTTCCGGTTGGTTGCCTTGTGGTGGGAAAAGGTGTTGGGTTAGGTGTGGGTCGCAACGTTGTGGGGAAAGGCGTTGGATTCGGGGTAGGAGATTTGGTAGTCTGACTTGGGGTCGGTGGGTTCGTGGGAGACGGGGTAGGGGACCCAGTAGGGAGAGGCGTTGGCGGGTCAGTGGGAGACTTTGTCGGTTGCTGGGATGGGCTGCTGCTTGGTTCTGGCGTTGGATTGGGCGTTGGATTGGGAGTAGGCTGCCGAGTTGGACTGGAAGACGGTCGGAAGGTGGGCGACAACGTGAATGTGAGCTCTCCTTCGAGTACAGCTCCGTCCCCGGTGACGCTTGTGGACTCGCCTTCGAGTACAGCTCCGTCCCCGGTGACGACCGTGGACTCTCCTTCAACTATTCCACCCTGTCCTGTGAAGGTGACGTCTTCACCTGCATCGGTACCATTGTGACTAGTGGTATTCGTAGTGTCGAAGTTCGGCACCTCTAGCACGAAACCATAGGAATCCTGTGCACTTGCGATAATGGTGCTCTGAGCTCCCGCTTTTGCCAGAAGACCAATGAAAAGAAATATCAAATACTGTCGAGTGATCATGACGGTCATGGTTGTCAATGAAATATATTATAACCAAAGAGCTAAGCAAAGATTCTCACCACAATCGATCAGATCGAAGTGAGAAAGCTACGGTTGGTTGGGACTTCTGCTGCTTCATAGTCTACATTCTCGTTCTAGTTCCGGTGGCTTGGTTACGATTCTTGCTCTTGAACTGATTGATAGGTGGGCTAAGTAACCGTCTTCAGGTATCAAAAACCTTCATAGTAAAATCCACTTCCCGAGTATGTTAGCACTCATTCGAAATCTTGGGATGGTACAAAGGAGGGAGTTTACGGTCACTTAGAAGGTACGCCGAAACTCTCGCTAAGTCGCACGAGTCACATAGCTAATTACTGTCCGTTGTTGGGAGAAGTTGGTCTCCAAGAACTCAAGAACATTCTCGAAACGATTGAAGACTACCGTTACAGCTGAAGTTGGACGGTAGAGCTGTTGGGGACACGTCAAGTCGGAGAAAGGATTCCATTGATTCCCAGCAAGCCCAAGAAGACTCAATTCATCAACAGACGAGCAACCCAAGAGCCAGCTATGAGAGCTATTGCAATTTGAAGACAACGCGATTGGCTTGCTGTTGGGTCGTTTCGTTGTCTCGTTTCACAGAGCTATCATAAATGGCCAACCGTGTGGCTCAACGATCCATGTTAGTCTTTCCGGGCATTGCACTTGACAACAATCAATAAATCCACCTGGATCAATAAATCCGCCTACCCTTAGCTAGGTAGCTATTAACCATGACTTTTAATAAATTTTGCTAGTATTCCGTGTGAGGAGACGACCTACATTCCCGTACTTTAATACCACCTTGTGCATCTACCTTGGAATCCGTTTCATGCCAAAGTAATGAAATGTACTGTACTGTCTTGGCTGTATTGGACGCCTTGGCGACGCCTATTGCAGATTGCTTGTGTTTACTGAAACGTATGTATGCCTGCACGGAGGGACGGGCGCCGTCTTCATGCACGAAATCCCCTCGATCTTTACCTGAGGTACCGGTACGGTAGCAAACATTTGGACTCGGGCCATCTGCTAACCCAACCACACACTAACCACCCCGTACTTCCTAGCTGGCGCTATTGAGAACCTGGCGCCGGAAAAAAGGAAACTAGCGATGCCTGTAAATCTGGTCCACTCCAAGGGTCGCCATCGTTGGTCGTCAAAAAGGCAAACACCAGCGCCACCTGACGGTCTGCCTTGAGTCGCCTCCTAGTGGCTATAGGATGATAATGATAGCCCGGTCCCTCTGGTAACAAACCAAGCTCGTAGAGTTCTGGTCCTGCATCATTCATCCAAGTCCATCGTATTCGACACAGCGGGCCCAACGGCATGGTATTGATATTACTGCTGGTGTCGGCTTGGGGGTGAATGTTTCCATGAAATAGAACTGTGAATTCCATGGCATAGTCCACCATGGCAGATCGAAAGGTTGGGTCCGTGAACGTTATCTCTCCATCCTTATCTAATGCAAATCGAAGCAGGCTCTTGCTTCCTGAATGTGTTGGCTCTTGGACGAGAAAGAATCCTGGTGTCGAGATCATGTAGTCACCCGCAAAGTAGCCACGCCCGTCGCTTGGTGGTGCTATTGGATTGTTGCGACCATTGTAACGGTAAGCCAATACGATTGCCACAAGAAGGGGTAAGAGAACACTCGGGACGAGGTTCCAAGGAGCCATTGAGGAGACTTCAACAACACCAACAACTTCTCTACTGCCTCTGCACTCTGCCGTTGCTACCCTACGTTCCCGCGTTGCTGCAACCGCGAAAGAAGTTCAAAGAAGAAGGATCGTCTGAGTCGAGTCACGAATCTAAAGGCTTCCTTTTCATTCCTGTTTGCTTCCTCTTCCCACCACCTCCATTCTTCTTCGACCATGACGAGACCATGCCGCTGCTTCGCCGTGGGGGTCCTACTACTAGCCTGTCTGCCATCATCTGCCTTCATCGTCCCGACGAGGACTCCGATACGCTTGGGTCGAAAGCACCCGATACCGTCCACGGTGCTTCGTCGCTATTATCAGAATGGCAATGGAGCTGACGTACCCCCCAAAATCATTCTCCCAGCCGAAGACAAAGACGACAAAACTGTCCCTGTACATACACCACCACCAGCAGCGGAAAGTCAACTGATACAACAGCCACCAAAAACCGAGCCACAAGACCGAGCCATTGTCCTGCCTCCTTTTGTAGCAGCTGGCAAGAAAGACAAAAGCGGTGCTTCCAAAAATGTTCTCAGTAGGGTTAAGGCTAGAATAAGGAAACTGCGTCCCGCCACCAAGTTTCGTGTTGGATTGGGCTTGGCAGCCCTGGTGAGCCTGTCTTTGACCAGCCTATTCCGAGCACGATGGCTTTCATTGGTCACCCGATGGGTTAGCCATCGAGGATTCCAAGGACTCTCTGCTTTGGGGAGAACCATTGCCTTTGCCTGGGGCGCTCTGGTCGCATACCCAAGGCTCCTCGACCGACGAGCCGCAGAACGCAAACAACGGGACCGAGAAAAGGCTCTAGACCGACGAAGGAATGAACTCTATCAGTTGGCTGCCGAGGTTTCGCGACTGCGGCAAGAACTATCTAGTATCGATGCCGAAATTCGATCTTTTCGGAGGGAAGTGATATCCCTCAAGGCGCTGGCGAGTAGCAGTGTCAATGCTTCTTCCGAAGACAGCAATGGTATCCAAGAAGCCATTACCGCTGAGATGGCGCATTTGGCACAATTGCGATCTGACACACAAGCGGCATTGTCGGCTGCTCGGCAAACCTGGGCTGAAGCACGAGCCTCCAGTCCACCCGATGCATGGCCTGGTAGTGTGCCACCTCTATTGTCAAGCAGAAAGTAGACGTCCTAATCGTAGTAAGAACGCTTGATCGAGGTACGCCTGAGCCTTTGTCGACGATGGCATAAGCTGTTCTCTGCAAGCAGAGCTTGGCTAGCTAGTTACATACCGTACATGGACATATAGCTTTTCGTACGGTGACCAGCAAGGAAGGGGAAGCCAGCAGAGATTGTGGCAGGTTGAAACCGTTAATCTTCAGAAATCATTTTTTTCTTCCAACGTTTTGGATGATGATGAATCCAAGAGCACAAAATACAGAACAGGCTGCAGTGTTGTTGCTTCCAATCGATCCCACAAGAAGCACTTGATCCCTTCACAATAGCCAGAATGCCCTTTGTTCAGATTGCTTGGCTTCCCAAGGCTTGCCGCACCGCAGCGGTCCGCAAGGACGTGGCCGACGCTATTATCAAGGCCATGGTCAGTGTGAAGGCGGCAGATATCTCACCCGACAACCTGGTGGTTCGATTTTCGGAATCGGTCGATGGGTTTCCATTGCCTAAGGGACACAGTGCCAACCCGGACTTGCAAGCACCGCAAAAGCCAGGTGCTGAAGCCTTTCTAGCCGAGAAGTAGACGGCAGAAGATGACTTCGACTCGACTCGACTTGGAGCACGTAAATCAAGCAAGAGTCGAGTCTCTGGGATCAACAACGAATAGCAAAGGCGTGAACAAGCAAAGAGGGCCAGCACTCTGAAGATAAGGATATATGCATGCAAGGAGAAGGAAAACTGGCTGCAACTGGACCCGAAAACTACCCGTAGTAGCTCTAGAATTCCATTATGATTGAACCTGCTTTTGGTCTTCAATAGCTAGCTAGTTGACTCGTTAGCATGGCCATGGCCAACAAACTGCAGGGACGCTCTGTGGGAAGCTGATGACTGCAACGAAACCAGTCACGGCGCGAGAAGATACCGCTGCTAGCTAGCTACGGTATGCTGTCTGGCTTCACAGCAGCGAGGCAAGGTCATTCCCACTTGCGCGGGAGTCATGTCAACAAGGTTCCCAGGCCCATCACCACCGTTCGTCAAAGCCAAAGAGCCACAAACCCGAACTACAATCAAAGAAAACAAAAGCAACCAAATGAGCCAAACCATGCGCACCATTTCTGCCATTACCCTCTTCCTTGGATTCTACTTGACTTCGAGTCAAGCTCTGGAGCTTCGGGCATCGAGATCCTTGATCAAGGAAGACTTGCTCAAGAGGAGCCATGACCGCAGCCTGGTGACCATTGAAGACGTTGATCTGGAGGTGTATCAGGCTGCCTTGGAAGACCCATCTGATGCAAATGCTATTTCACGTCTTGCAGAAGACCAAGACGCATTCCTTCACGACAACTCTGATATCATTCTTACTACTGACTTCTTGGCCAACGGACAGGCTTCCAAACATTTGCAAGAGATTGGCTTTCCCGGTATGGAACGTCTCGACAAGGAAAGTATGAAAGAGCTAGATGCTTACTTTTTTGGTGGAAGAAATGGCAATGGATGTGGAAATTTCTGGTGTGAGACTCCCGCCACCATTGCATTGTATGGGATCATCAATGTTGGAGCTATCATTACCAAGTTCCATATATCAGCCATTGCCGCTGCCTTGGCTATTCCGACGGGAGCATCTTCGGCTGTGATTGGTCTTGTGCTTGGGATTGCCATTAGTCTTGGCGCCACAGCTGGCAATGCTCTTGTTGGAACTATTGTTCATGAGGCCTGCTGCAACATTCAAGCTTACGAGGAGTGAGCAACAAGCAATTTGTTGGTGCTATTCGTTGAGGTTGACGACATGCGATGCCACCATTTTCAAGTGAACGCCATAGATAGAGCCATAGAATAAATAAATCTATTTTTGATAGATTCACGTGTTTCTGCCCAACCTACATGACATGTCTGATGAGCGTTCCTACAAAGGAATACAGAGCAATGACTGATGTTGTTGTCTACGTATATACAAATTTGAATTACTTGTTTGTTGTTTGCTGCGTCTGATGCTCTTGCCGAATAAATCAAATCCAAAACGCTGTCAATGGACACTTTTCCCACGGTGAAAACTCAAAAACCAAAAAGTACTTCTATCATTGGTGGTGGCGATTCCATCCAAACCACGTCAACAAGAACTATATCATAAACTTGTTGATTGTTTGTTTGTTTGTTTGTTTGTTTGTAAATTGAAATGGGATCAGATAGAAGTCGATTCATAAAATCTGTCAAGCCAATGCAGTTCAGTGCAGAGCTGCAAAAAGGCCGTCATTCACTTGTTTTTGTTTTTGGGGTCCTCACTTTTGGGAAGAAGCAAGTCCATTGGAGCATGGCTGATTCATTCATTCATTCATCCACAACAAGGCGCATATTGTTGTCCCGTTGTTGCTTAGTTAGTTTGGCGAAGATCTCTTATTGAGCAGCTCGTCAATGTCCACTACCATATCGTTGGGTGCAATTTGTGGGCTAAATCTCTTGTAAGGCTTTCCTTCATGATCCACCAGAAACTTGGCTGCAGATAGATCAGATCATCCAACAAGAAGCATGATAGGAAGAATTAGAATCAATCGTCTGGGTTACAAAAGTAGAGTCCCACGCATGTATGTTTAGGAAGGAACGAACATGGACGACAACGTACCAAAATTCCATCGAATGCCAGTGGTTCCATCATCGTTGGGCAGTGTATGTTTCAGGAAGCCAAAGACTTCTCTTGTGTTGGCTCCATTGACATCCCCCTTTTCAAAGAATTCAAGTTTCTGTTGCCACAATAAGAAGATCAAATGATTCATCAGACAACTACCTGGTACTCACTGGTAGCACATCTAACCAGCTTTTGGTTGTCTATCTATCTACTTACCTCTGGCATGTCCGGATCGAATGTTTTGGTAAACTCGATAATCTCTTGGTGCGTTCCCGGCTCTTGTCCTCCAAATTGATTGCAGGGAAATGCCAGAATTCGCAGGCCTTTTCCCTTGTACTTGTCTGCCATGCTGGCAAGTTGGATATAGTTTTTCTTGGTCAAACCTCATTTCGAGGCAACGTTGACCACCATGACAACGTCGCCCTTGTACGCCGACATGGGAACTTCCTTGCCCAGCATGTCGCGGTCAAAGCAGTCGTAAAAGGCCATCTTGAGCACTTTGGCTTCGGCACCAAAGATGACGCGGTTCACACCGTCCATTGCTTTCGAAATCAAGTAACTCATCGTTGCGTCGTTGTTTGTTGTGAACAATACAGCAATATTGGACCAGATAGAAGATAGATTATGGACTTCGGTGAGCTTACAGCGTAGTGGTCCTTGGGACTGTGTCAAGGGAAAGCAACGATTACAGCACGCTCTGGGACTTGCAAGGATGGAGTTGGAAATGTTCTGGCACGGCGAGGTGGGTAGTTTCTTGTGCTTTCATTCTTCATCGGTGGCACGTGATGACGAAGTGTCATGATCGAATTCTGAGTCAGTTTCAGTAAGCCGATGGGACTGCCCGTTGACCCCCTTGGGCGGGCTCCTGATGCAGATAGATGACGCCAAAGACCGCGACGTCTATTTATCAAACCCTGCGGACATGCAGTATCTTGACACAAACGGAAGCTACCCGGAAGCAGTGCATGTACAGGTATGTGTGTAAGCTGCCGGGACGGACGCTGATCCAGAGAGATGGATGGCCACCTCAAAAAAATTGTAGCTTTGCAATGGGTATCGGGGAAAGATTCCCTCGAGACCTTTCGAAGCTGCTTTTGGATGAGCCAAGCGATATCAAGTAGAACAGAAAGAGCGCAACCATGGCAGCTGTGGAAGTCATTGACCTTGTGCTGACCGTCAACAAGGCCGATGGTCTTGCAGCCAAGGACACCAACATGTTTGGTGTCAAGACCAAGTCGGATCCCTACATTGAAGTACGGTTGATCCCACGAGGGTCTGCCATTGAAGGTAGGGTTGTGGACAAGAAGGACAAGATTTTTCTGGGCAAGACAGAAACAAAATTGAAGACTCTGTCTCCCAAATGGGATCAATCCTACCACATTTCCGTTCCCCGCAAAGACTTTAATGAGTTTTCCATTTTCGAATTGACCATTATGGACAAGGACATTACATCCTCCGATGACCTTATGGGAGTGGTGCCCGTCCATGTTCCCGTGGGTCGATGGGGGACCTTTACCAAATGGTATGGAGTCCCAGCATCTTCGGCCAAAGGAGAAGAAGCCACGGGACGCGTCCAGTGTACCATGTGGATGGAACACAGTCACAAAACCCCGGAAGAAATCAAGGCCGCCAATGAGGCCACGGAAGCTGGTATTGGGAACAATGACAAATCAGAACTTCCAGAGCTGGCCGGTGGAAAGGTGGAAGTCATCACTCTCAAGCTCACTGTCAAAAAAGCATCGGGACTGCCGGCCATGGACAAGAATATTATTGGTATGAAAACCAAGTCCGATCCCTACATTGAAGTCAGATTGTGTCCTAAAGGTCCTGGTGGAGGGCCGCAAAGCAAAGTAGCGCTGGGGAAAACAGAAACCAAAATGGAAACGTTGAATCCATCCTACAACCAGGTATTTGAGGCTCCGCCCCTATCACTCAAGAGCTTTAGTGACACTGCCAGTTTTGAACTCACCATTATGGACTACGATGAAAATGGCGAAGATGATCTCATGGGAATGGTGACAGTGCCCATCAAATTGGACAAATCGGCAAGCAGCACCAAATGGTATGACGTACCCAAAGACTCGGGGGAAGGAGGAAAGGCTTCCGGAAAGGTACAATGCATGCTTTCTGTTTCCAAGGATATCCAAGCATCAGCATGTACAGCAGATACCGAGGTGAAATTAAAGGCGGCATTGGCCGGCAAGTCCAAACCCACGGGACCTCCACCTCCCAGGACCTCTGTGATGAAGAGGACAGCATCCATGCGGCGGACTAATAGTACGGACTCGGAGGCCAAAACGGTTCAAGAGTCGCTGAGACGCAATCCCATCGTGGCGCCAATGCCAATGCCAAAACCACCGAAACGAATGGCAGAGCCAAGAGCCAGGTCCTCGAAACCCCATCCACCAGCAATAGCAGGCACGCCAGTCGTGTGTCAAGAGCCTGTCTTTCCAAGACCTTCTACTGGAGAAGCAACTGTCAGTAGTAGCATGTGCCCGTTTTGTGAAAAGGGCAATCACAGAAAGAAGGATTGCCCAGAATGGCTGGAGTTTCAGGCATTCAAAAAACAAAAAGAAAAGGAACGAGAGGAGGAGGAAGAACGCCGCCGAAAGAAATTGCTCAGTGTGAAAGGTCGATTGGCAAGAAGAACCTCAATGTCCGGAGGCAGTGAGCGACAAGCACCCAAGCGCCAATCATCAATGCGAATGCGTAGATCAAAATCGGACGATTTCGACGATTTAAGGAGATCTTCCCACGGCATCCGAAAACCCCCTTTGCGACAAGGCAGTATTAGGGTATTACCGTCCTCATCCTCGTTGTCGCGCAAGTGCTCCAAGGATGGAGAAAGGGTTTTCAAGAGGGCGTCGTCCATGCGCCTGAAACGTCCAAGCAGTATGGAAGGTTCTCCGATAAAAATCGAGAAGGGAGGAGAGCTCTGTAGCAATCAACGGACAAATTCCATGAAGAGGAGCAATTCCATGAAGAGAAGCAGTCGCAGCGAGGAAAAGAAGGAAGGTCGAATGAAGAGAAGATCTAGTCGCGACGACGGTGATGAAAAGAAGGAGGTAGATCGTCGCATCAGGAGACCCTCCAGTTTCGACGACGCCGGTGAAGCCCAAGAGAGAGAACCTCGCGTGAAGAGAAGAACCAATGGTAAAAAGAGTCTTACTGGCGAGCGAATCAGCTCTTCAGGTTCGAGGAAACAAAAACAGCGACCCGATGGAACAAAGCATACTCCTTCGCTGTCCGAGAGGAAGAGTAGTTCACGCGACGTAGTGTCGGAAAGCGAAAGCTGTAGCAGCGAGGGACTCGAAAGCGAGGCAAGCATCAATTGGTAGCCGCGCTGCACGGTACGGTACTGTACGGTAGCGCCAAGTGATGGCAATGCATGTCAAGCTGACTACAGAGACTTTTGCACAGCTTGCCCAAACACGATAATGATCCCTTTGGGTGAACATCCCCTAAGCTTTCTTATGTTGCAGGGCATGGCAGCCAAACTCATCCATCAGCTACAGGAAGCCAGTGACATAGCACATGGTTGTTGTAGATTGACTTTTATGAGATTGAGCTGGCCTTTAGGATAACCGCAAATTGGATAGCACTGCTAGCCAGTACATGTATGCCACTGCAAACTAACGGAATTGAGTGCATGTACGTAGCTATGCAAGCCTGCAGTTTTGCAGCTGGTGACGGGAACGATTGGAACCCTGCGCATCAAGCAAATTTAGAGGAACATTTCGCCGTGTGCTGCACTCTGGAGTACTAGTAGTCTATAACTTCCCTCGCGAGCTTTCGAAGCTGTTGCTACCGGTATCTGGATGAGCTAGCCAGCTGAGGGAGGCGAGCTAAATGTACTAGCTACGGTAGTACTCGTGCAGGGTGATTGTTTTGATTTCTAGCTAGTGGAACCTGCTTTGGCCAGCCAGTAGCCCCCCCAATACGTACCGTATGTCATCCTTCATGCTCTCCAGGAAAAGGACGCTACAAGGTCAGTTCAGCACTATGCTCGAGGTACATGTACCTCACGAGTTAGGTTCAACAAGCCGCTGGCTCTATTGAGTATCTGAGAGTCGAGTCCTTGGTGATGCTTTTCCTAGTGTTTACCAAGGTGGTGCAAAGCACGCATAGCTATTTTTTCATATCTACCTGCAAAAAATCCGGTTGACTTGTGGTCTCTTTTTTAACTCCTTAACCTCTCACAACCGAATTTTCCAAGTAGACTCCTCTTTGTTCATTTAGTCATTCCTATGCATGCAGTTTCTTTCTTTGTAAAGGGCTAGATCCTATCTTTGGGTGCCATTGTATGTTGCTAGCTTGGCTTCTCTCTCTGGTGATTGTCGTGTTCACACAAAACATTACAGTAACACGGGGCAGAGCGTATTGTCGTCATTTGCTCGATTCGATTCGATTCTCTACTTGTTTTCCTTGTTGAACAAGGAAGCAAAGGGATTCTTCACCTTTGGTTTGCTTGGTGTTGCCTTCTTTGTTTTCTGCAATTCGTTGGCTTTGGCCGAAACGTTCTCGGCCAACGACGATGCTGATGACTTGAGGTTGCCAAACACGGAAGTCGCCTTGGATTTAATTTCCTCCAATGGAGTAGTAGCATCCAAGTCGACGGGTCGATTCCCGACTTCTCGCTGGAATTTCTTCATGGCATTCTTGAGCTTGTCGCCGGGCATGTTGGCATTGGCAGCCACTTGTTCAAAAACAGAAGTGATCATGGCATCTCTTTCGTTCTTGGACATGAGGTCCTGGAACAATACAGTTGGCTTTTCGGGAGCGCTTTCTTGCAACACCGGTTCTTCCACTTGGGGTTCCTCTTCCTTGACGGGTGGAGAAATTTTCGCCTTCATTTCTTGTAGCTGATCCAAGTAAGAGCCCCATGTTTCGGTGGAAACCTTGGGAGGCTCCTCCACCACTGGTGGTAGGGTTGCTGCTTCTTCCTCTTCCTTCAACATGGTTACCATGGCATCTTCAATGCGCAACGAAGCACGCTTGATGACTTTCTGCACATTTTCCTCCTTCAACGTTTGCTGGATGGGCATCTTCTTCTTGGCAGGGCTGCTCTTTTTCATTTCCGCTGCCACGTCCTTGACGGCATCTCCCAAAATGGAACAAATCTTGACAAATCCTTGAACACTGTTGCTCATTTTATCCAAAGCTTCCTCGTAAGTAATATCCATGTCCTCCACCATGGTGGTATTGAGGGAGCTCTGAATTTCCTTGACCATTTCGAATCCACCCTTACCAACGGTGGCAAAGCTTTCCATGATGGAATCGGTCATCTTGGAGGCCCAACCAGTCGACAGCTTGAAGTCAATCTTGGGAGCTTCCAATTTCATGCCCATCTTCTTCAGTTTGGATGCTACGGTTTCTTCCTTCTTGGCCACAACAGGTTCCACAACCGGAATTTCCACCTTTTTGGGAAGTTCCATCTTTGGTGGAGGAGGCGTAGACGCCACAACCTTCTTGGCCGCGACAGGTTCCACAACCTTCTTGGGCTGTTCCATCTTTTTTGGTTCCTCCACAACAGTCTTCTTAGCAACAGGGATTTCCACCTTTTTAGGTTCCTCAACCTTTGGCGGAGGAGGTGTGGACGCCACAACCTTCTTGGGCGGCTCCATTTTCTTCTTCTCGTCCATCATGGCCTTACTGACCTGAGCCATTTGTTGGGCAGGAGTCATGATTTCTTGCTTGGCGGCAACAACATCTGGTTTTTTGCTGGATTCCTTGGCTTTTTTGGCCTCTTGGATCAACTCGAGAGGTGTCTTGCTACTCTTGGACTCTCCTCCGGCTTGAAAATTTTTCAATTCCTCGAAATTAGCATCCCATGTGGCATCCACGTCCTTTTTCTTCTTGTCCGTTGTGGTAGTCGTAGCCTTGGGAGCACCAAATCCCTTGCCGGCAGTCGTCTTCTTGGTAGTAGTCTCTTGATCCACTTGGCGCATGGTGTTCTGCAGAGCCTGGTTATAGGCATCCATGGTGTTATCGGGCTGGTCCTTTTCGGATTCCTTTTTCTGGATCTTTTCATTGAGACTGTCCAATTCGGCGTCCATTTTGCTGGCAAAGGATTTGGGATCGATATCCTTCTGTTTCTTTGTTGGTTGCTCTTTCTGCTGGAGTAGTGGATCCGACGTGGAATTGCCCACACTCATGGAAAGAGCACCCGTGTGGCTCACCACGACAAAGTTGTTGTTCGTCCTAGGCATAACATGACGACTACTGGGTGGTGGAGAAAATGCGGCGAGTGTCTCTTGACAGGCCATCCAGGCCACCAAAGCAGAGAGTTGGATCTTCATGGTCACCTATTGATTTGTCAGATGGAAAAATAGAAAAGAAAAGAGTGTTTGTTGCGAGAGAGAGAGATGACTTCCGTTGAAGGCTTTTTGAAAGTCAAGTCAAGTTGTGAGCTTGATCGGGAGGCGGTGATGGATGGCGGGCAAGTGGAAACCAATGCGGTTAGATCTACTACGGCAGTTCCGAAGATTGGAGCAGCCATGAAGCCCAGCTTCCCATCAAACTTGATGTCTCGCTCTGATTGGTGTTGTGCTCTTTGCTCTGATTGGTGCGGTGTAGCCGAACAGCTGCTTCTGTTTGCATCAAGACGTCACTTCGTGTGTCGAAAGAAAAGATGGATCAACCTTGACCCTAAATTTGTTCTGAAATGTTTGCGTCATGGATATATGAGTCCCGAATCGAAAGATCGAAAGATCGAAAGATCCAAAAGATCCAAGAATTTGCTGCCAACGCCATCAACCGAGTGACAGCAGGAACAGTTGAACAGTTGTCATTGAAAACACAAGGTCTTCATCTATCTCGTGATCAATCGTTTCCATTTTCTGTAGCCATGCCTCGTGTTCGGCTCTTTGTTTCCGCCTTGTACTGGCTGTTGGTTGCATGGGCACCAGTCTGTCAATCCTGGCGCTTGTTTCCTGCCATTCGTTTTCGAGGAGGAGGCTTTCGAATGACCAGTGGCAATGGTGGTGGTGCTAGCAGCAGTTGGACCAAAAGCGCTGCTTCGATTACCAAAATACTGAAAGAATTGGATTTCCTCAATACAAAAATAGATGGAAGCGTCATTGTCGTGGGTCATGACAACCTAGGCAAGGACACACTACTCAGTGATTTGTATGACAAGGAGGGTGGTTTAACATGGATGAAACCAACGCCAGTACCACTTGCCATTGTCCAAGTAGCTTCCGAGTCGGATGTTGCCGTGGCGGTGCCCATCTTGGTTCGTCTCCAGAAAGACTTTGGCATTCCATTTCGAATCCGATCGGGAGGACATCATTACAATGGCTACAGTTCGGTGGAAATGGGGATTGTGCTGGATATTGGAACGAACCTCAACAAGATTACGCTGTGTCACAACAATAATGGTAGTGAGGAGGAACCGTTGGCGTGGATAGAACCCGGCGTCAATGGAGGAGACATTTGGAAACAACTGATTCAGAAACACAAACTCGCCGCCATTATGGGAGGATGTCCGGCGGTCAATCAAGGCGGGTTCCTCCTCGGTGGTGGATTTTCCTACTGGTCTCGGTTATACGGATTGGGATGCGATCGCATGGTAGCAGCCCGTGTAGTACTGGCCAATGGGACGATTGTCACGGCCAATGCCACCAATTCACACTGCGACTTGTTCTGGGCATTGCGGGGTGCCGGCTCGGCTGGGCCCATTGGCGGGGTCGTGACATCATTCCAGATCCGACTCTTTCCCACACAAGATGAACAAGTTTACGGTATGGGCAAAATTCCGTCGGTCGAAGAAGCCGCACATTATTTGACCAACATTGGGACGCGAACCAATCTACCAGGAAATGCCGGGATTACGTTATTCTTATTTCCCAAACAGTTTTATGGCGACGAGTGGCTTTCCGTGTACAATTGGTATGACAATGGCATTCCACAACTGCAAACCGGAATGACCTTGTTGAATGCAACCTTCCGGGATGCCTTGTTACATCCCGACACGGCCCGTGGTTTTGGCATGGAGATCCAATCGGGAACGGAACATTCCAAGATGGGACTCATGGAAGGACGTCTCTGGCAAGTATGGAATGGATTCCTCATGCCAGAACAATGCAACACGCAAACATGGACCAAACTATTGACTATCATGAGGGAGATGCGAGATGCGTGTGAAGGCTACGTCACCATTGAAGTCTTGCTGTGGGGCGGTGCCATTTCCGATGTTTCACCCAGCGAAACTGCATTCTTTTGGAGACGGGGCATTTACAATATTTGCGTCAACCTCGGTGTTCCCGCCCATGTGGAAAACGCCGAGATCATCTTTGAACGACATCGTGCCTATCTCAGCCGAGCGTGGCCCAAAGTCAACAAGTATCTCCAGGGGGCGTACTATAATTATCCAGTGCAGGGCAGAAAGGAAGGGAATTCCGATGTGTACTTTGGAGGAAATGTTGCAAAGCTGAGGAAAATCAAAAAGCAATACGACCCGGACAACGTGTTCTATCACCCCCAAAGCATTGTTTGATCCTGGCGGTTTGCTCCTTTCGGACCAGCCACCACGCGCGCTCTTGACATCATCTCTGAGCCATCATACCGTACCAGCACCATGGTGCAGCTTCATTGTATAAAAATGCAGGCGAAGCGGCAAAACCTCGGAAAGCAATGACAGCACGACCGAGGGCAATGCTCGTGCTGGCTGCCGTCCATGAAGAGAATAGCTAGCATTTGTCTGGCTAGCAAGTTTGGCTTCCTCTAGCTAGATACAACTTAACCTCGGCAGGTAAACTGCCTGAGTTCTCAACCCCTTTAATGCTATTTCCTATTTCCTATTACCTCGGCAGGTAAACTGCCTGAGTTCTCAACCCCTTTAATGCTATTTCCTATTTCCTATTTCCTATTTTCTATTTCCTATTTCCTATTCCGGTGAAGCCAAAGTATAAGGATAGAGATAGTCATAAGCCAACAAAACTGAACATTGATGGTTCAATACAAGTTAGGGGTAGGAATAAATCATTAATATTTAAGGTTAGTGCAATCAGCACAACACCACAATAAGCCAGCAGGAGCTGTAAAGGTTAGAGTTACAATAAGGGAATGGCAGCTGGTAAATTATAGAGTAGCGGGCGGCAACACACGACGTAGTCGGGTGTTGTCGCCAGGGCTAGCTTAATAAAGAAGGTTGCAATGAGGGAATGAATGATATCGGGCGGCAACACACGACGTAGTCGGGTGTTGTCGCCAGGGTTGGCTTGAAAGATGGGTGCAATCTCGAACATGATCCTCCTTCTTCTATCTGTCTTTCTGCCGAGGTATCGCAGCTCCCGCTGACTTATCCTATTTTCTATTTCCTATTTCCTATTTCCTATTTTCTATTTCCTATTTCCTATTTCCTATTCCGGTGAAGCCAAAGTATAAGGATAGAGATAGTCATAAGCAACAAAACTGAACATTGATGGTTCAATACAAGTTAGGGGTAGGAATAAATCATTAATATTTTAAGGTTAGTGCAATCAGCACAACAGCACAATAAGCCAGCAGGAGCTGTAAAGGTTAGAGTTGCAATAAGGGAATGGCAGCTGGTAAATTATAGAGTAGCGGGCGGCAACACACGACGTAGTCGGGTGTTGTCGCCAGGGCTAGCTTAATAAAAAGAAGGTTGCAATGAGGGAATGAATGATAACGGGCGGCAACACACGACGTAGTCGGGTGTTGTCGCCAGGGCTAGCTTAATAAAAAGAAGGTTGCAATGAGGGAATGAATGATACCGGGCGGCAACACATGACGTAGTCGGGTGTTGTCGCCAGGGCTAGCTTGAAAGATGGGTGCAATCCGAACATAATCCTCCTTCTTCTATCTGTCTTTCTGCCGAGGTATCGCAGCTCCCGCTGACTTATTAATATGTATAGCAGCACTTTCCTCTCATGTGTAGCAGTCCCCAACAGTGAGATTCGATTCGATTCGATTCGATTCGATTCGATTCGATTCGATTCGATTCGATTCGATTGATCATTCCATTACTCATTCGATTCCCACGTTCAACCTTTGTGGCCCTGCCTTGGAGTCCCAAAATTTCCTCTTTTTGTCACACACACACCACATGCGAGAACTTGCTCCATGAAGCTGCAGGCAGACTATTCAAGGGGAAAGATGTTTCGTCCTTGAAGTCACGAGCAGAGAGGAGCTACGAGTAGGCAGCTGACACGGGCCAGACACCCCTTCCAGCTACACCATGTATCGGATGAGCATCATCTCTCCTCTGGAAGCAATGAGATTGGGTAGTAGCCCTTCCTTGGATGATGCCCCAAACTCCCATTGCTTCCTGCTGCTGGAGAGGACGTCTTACTACGGAACTAATGTGCTACGGCAATGTCCAATGTCCTTTCCTAGTAGCTAAGGCTAGACTTCTATCTATCTGCATTTGGCTACTAGACTAGAGCTAGATCTACATCATGTACATGTGCACAGCTATCGTTGCTGGCTGCCTCCAGTGCTGGCTGGTACAGGGGGCGAAACATAAAAAAAAGGTGCTTCACTCTTCAAATTACGCGTGTCATTCTTGCTCAGAGACCATGCTAATTTTCTCTGTATGTGAAAGCGTTTGTTTAATGCACGGTCCGAAGACCGTGCCACCAGATACGGTGAATATGTTTGTATATAAAGTGTCCGAAACGTGTCAAGTTATGGTGTTGGTTGGTGTTTGCGTTTGCCCTCACAAAGCCATACCGGTAGCATATCCATCCGCCACTTTTGTAATGGTTGACTACAGCGGCAGATTCAGCAACCTAGACTAGCTAGTAGGGATCATGGCTGCTGTGGCTCCATTGTCCCTTGCTGGTGTGATGCTGGAGACTCGAGTGACTTGACTCAGCAGCTGCATGCTGTTGTCGCATTTCTGAACGTTACCCATAACCCTACCATTCGATCCTTACAGTTAGTGTGAGTGTCGTGATTGTCGTCGTGATGGCCTTTTGGTCGTCTCAAACAAGCCTTGTTTCTATCCCACCAATCTTCTGAAGATGCACATCAGCAAACCCCTTGCATCTGGCTTGACCTATTCTCTTGGTCGTTCGTTGTACATTCCTTTGACTAGTCGATGTAATACTTTGACGCTGCCACAGACCAGAGGACCCCATTTCCTTTTGCCAGCAGAAGTGGTTTCGGCATTGTGTCGTGTTCGGGATGCCGAGAGTCAAAAGGAACAGTGGAAGCACTGGTGTATGTACTTGGATACCTCAGAAACACCACAATTGCTGCCCAAAGCAGAGGAGCCTGTGGCAGCGCTAAAAGGTCAAACTGAAGAAATCACGGATAGTGACGATGGTTTACAACCAAGCGTCAACGAGCTCTTTATGGATGCACAAGAGCATATCAGTCAGCAAGAATATCAATCCGTGGTATTTGCCGGGGAAGGGGAACCCACGCTTCGGCCGATTGCACTGGTAGCCCTGGCCAAAAAACTCAAGAAGATCCAATCGCCACCTCTTCGCCTGACTACGAATGGTCTAATGTCCAATGATCCCATGAGAAGCCACGTGCTGCAATCTAATGCGATTTCTTCCGTCAGTGTGGCTCTCATGACACATGACCCACATCAATACGACGAGTTGATGAAACCGGTAATTCCGGACGATGCCAGTATCACGCGGTCCCATGAACGAGTTTGCCAATTTATTCAGGAAGCTTTGACGGCAGGCCTGGCCGTGGAGGTAACAGCTGTTGAACACCCGGATGTAGACAAACATCGGACAGAACAATATGCCGCATCTCTAGGGGTTACAGAACCAATTCGGTGGCGCAGCTATTTTCCATAACAGGGTACCTGGTAAATTATCACTGACCGACGGGATGCAAAGCTTGTGTGGCTCAAATTATACTGTTACCGGTAGCCAGCCCATGACGCATTGGTTGTCATCAACGAATGCTTCTCGCAAAACAGGAAATGTTTCTAGACCCCGAGCTGGATCCTACCGGTACCGGTAGCTAGATATTAGTCTCAAAGCTCGGATTAGACTGAGACTTGGACTCAACTACTTTCGTGGCAAAACAGCATCATTTTCCTCCGGATGCAGTCTAGCTAGTAGAGAGACAAGCAAGAATGTATGACAATGCCGGCAGATTGGCATGTCTTCTTTCGCGCCAGAACCATACCGGTACCGTATGGAGTGCGCTACTGGTGGGACTTATGGTGATGCCAAGGTCTATGCCATGTTCCTTGTTCCTGTCTTTGGACACTTTCACCTCCGAAACCTCCAATGAAGCTACTAGTATGGTGATGAGAAAAGAGTGCAGCCGGGTGTTAAACAGACTGCGGGCTTGGTACCGTAAAAAGTATTTCGTCGAACTGTGACCACGCCGAAACGGACGTGGGATCTAAGTATCCGTGGGATCTTTCCCTAACAAACGCTCCGCATCGTCTAAGTAACTGAAGCTTCCTAGCATTGCCAGCGATGGATGGGAGATGCACTTCGGGTTGGTGGGAGCCGAGTGACAAAGTTCCGAGAGGGCATCAACAGGAGAACGACGAGTTCGAGGGAAGGCTGGGTCCTTGCTCGGCTGGCAAGGAATCCAAATTCCAGATACTACAGCACCAGAACCGTCCTCTGCAAATCCAATCCAATCAATCAAAGAAAGAAGATCATTGTATCCACAAGAGGAACACCAATTGGGGGTTGCTGCGTGGGGCTTGATATGAAATAAACCTCCATCAACATGAACCTTGCTAGTATGAATGCACAAGCCGTGCGCCTCTTGCAACGAGGACGTCCTGATGAAGCCGTATCCCTTCTATTGGAAGGGTTTGAAAGACTCGACGTCCTGAACACTGATGTTCCGGATGAAACAACAGTATCGGATGTTGCTTCTACGTTTTCGACAGTGTCTGCTGATGGCGCCTCTAGTGGCTTGGTTTCATTGGGCAAGATACCGCCATCATCCTCAGCAGACAACAATGCCGATCAATGCAGTCAATACTCCATCAAGCACGTCGCATCCAGAGCCGCGAGTGAACCATCCAGTCGCAGGTATCAAGCAGCAGCCAGTCGGGCTGCAGAAGCTCGCCTAAGACAAAGTCGATCTTTGGATGAACCTCTCCTGCAAACTGTCGATTCTGATGTATCGGATATCTCTGCGGCAACAGCGTTATCAGCCATTGACTTTGGACAAAGTGAGAACCAGTCCGAAGTGGAATCTGTAGAGATGTCACTGTCACTCCAAGATGAACAGAGGGCAGCTGAAGAGGACATTGCCAGTACGGAACCATTGCACAACTCCACCACCACCCATTTAGAAAGCGTCGCCCTACCAGAGTTCTCAGATGTTGATAGCAGAGACATGGCCAATCCAACAGATGAGGAAACCACTTCCTCCGCCAACAGCAACCAGTCCGTATCCGAAAATATTTTCACGTTTTATCAACGAGCCTTTGTGCTTACAACAACATCAGCAACAATGGAAAGTAGCAACCTGGAGGGTGACAACAACAACAACGATGACACGTCCAAACAATCCGCAGTGCTGCTGTATAACATGGCCGTGGCACATCACAACTATGCCCTTTACCGCCGAGATCCCGTAGCCGCACACGGGGAATTCCGCACCGCTTTGGTGTTTTATGACATGGCCTTTTCCATGATTCAGGAATCATTGGCGACCGAAGAGGACGACGAAGACTTTTTGTTGCTCTTGTTGGCCGTATTGAATAATCTGGGCCATATTCACGCTCACCGCTACAATTATTTGGAAACGCAAGAAATGTTGTCATCTCTGCAAGAGATACTAGCCGCCATTCGACCTGCATCGGGCGAAGCATCCATTATGGATTGCAGCCGTAACAACCGAGACGACTTTCTCTTCTTTTACAAAAATCTGGTCGTCTATCAAGAGCAAGAGTTCGCGGCAGCTCCAGCCGCTTGAGAGAGATCAAGAAGCAACAAGGACCGGAAACGGACCAGCTTTTCATTCAAATTCATATATTTATCCATACTTTCTTACGCATAATAATATAAGCATCGTCGGATCGGCTACCGTAGCTAGCAGAATTATATTGGTAACCAAAATTGCCCCAAATGACAATCTCTTTCACTATTCCGTTTGAAAAGGCTGATGACTTCCAACCTTATAACAGGAAGAAGGGGAGCTTCACGTTGCCGAGGAAGTTGCCGCCATTGCTGGTTGTTGTTGTGCCATCGTTAAGATTGTCAAGCCATTTCAGCATCAGCTCATTCGATTCTGGTACTTCATCAAATGGGATATGACCCGCAGTGACCAAATCCATGGAAACATTGTTGTCTGATTCGTTGGCCATGGCTTGAAAGAATGTCCCAACAGAACCAGCCAAGGGTGTTACTGGATCCTGATCTCCCCACACCAAATGAATGGGAACTTGACGGTCCAGCAAAAATTTAGAATGTCGCTGATAGACTTCCATGGGCGTGTCGCCAGGATCATTGGTATAGATCTGCGAGAGCGCTTGCGGTGATCCAGAGTCCTTGGCAGGATAGTAAAAGGAATCCACGAGAACATCATTGACGCGTTCGTCCACATCGGTAGCATATTGGTAGAGATTGGTCAGAGCATTTTTTAGCAGTTCCTGGGTCACAACTTTGTCCAGCACATACGTCAGCAGAGGTAAATTGCCAAAGACAAGAGCGTCCAAAAGGTCAAAGATTGCCGTAAAGATGACTTTCTGGACCCCCGAGAATTCTCTCAAGACGTTTCTCGAATTCATTCCCACCCCACAGTTGTACATGCCAACGCCTCCGATCGATTGTCGAATAAAGCCATCATTGCTATCATCATTTGTCTGATCGCCAGTGGCAGCTGTCAGTGCCACCATACTTCCAAGGCTGTTGCCCATGACAACAATGGAACTCGATGGTGGAATGTTGGCCCTGGCATAGTCATCGACTTGCTGTGCCCACAATCGAATGGAATAACTGATCCCGTCGTCTCTACCAGGTTTGGCAGACTTTCCTTGTCCCAGCAGGTCCAAAGCATGGACCGTGTAGCCACTTTGTTGAAAGAGTTGGATGGTTTCGCGCCAATACAAGGTACCGCACCCAAAGCCATGAACCAAAATGACATGACATTTCTTCTTCTTCGGTATCACAGCAGTAGGCTCGTACAATTCAGAGTATGTCTTGTGACCCTGGAATACAAAGTCTCGAGCCGCCGTCGCTGTGGGGTTTGCCACGACAAAGAGTGGCGTTGCTCTAGAAGAAGCTGGAGGCACCAAAGGAGTTAGAAAGGCATGCACCAACAGGGCTGGCAACAACCCATGAAGCACAACGGCCAGTACACATGTCACAGAATGGTTGATCATGTCGAGAGATAATGATGAAGATGGTACCTCCATGAGTGGGATCTTGCCACCTGTTTTCTTCGAGCGTCATGGGCAGATGGGAAACTGGGAAACACCCTTGGCAAAGGATACCCTCAATGTACACGCGACCAACGAAGAAAAAAGCACGACCAAAAAGAAATGCTCGTCCCAAGGACGGGTTTGGTACCGGTACCGGAACTCAGCTCTCTCCGGATATTTCAAAGGATTATGTAGCTGTACATATGGTAGCAGCATCTATCTGCGTGGCTACAGACACAGTACTTCCCTGGCGCCATCCAAGCTACAGCGTGCTGGATACTACGGCACGATAGGAAAAGAGGTATTGTAGCATCGGAATCCAGCACTCTCTATTAGAACTAGCACTCGTTGGTGTGTATTCATTGTTCTACTGTACTTGTTTGCGACAATCGGGCTCACCAGAAAGCGAATTGGTCTCAGACATAGCTAGTAGATGTTTAGACATCATCGTTCACTCCTTCAATTTCGAGAGGATCGTCATCCACAGCATCGTCATCTCCTCCAGTCCAAGCATCACCGTCTTCTTCGCAACCCGCTCTGGAGTCTCCGGGGCAGCACCCGCAGGTATCCGAGGACATGGCGTCGGCAGCCAGCACACACGTGGTTTGACCGCCACGACACACAAATACTCCAACCACATCGTCGGCAATATCGCAATCAAATTCTAGCAAGAAAGCAGCACAAGCGCCGCCAGTGCCACGAGATACTTCATTGACTGTTCCAGGAGCGGTGAAGGTAGTTCCAGTGGCAACGGTATTTCTCATTGTTGTTACGTTCGCGACAGTGGACAATTCTCCGTTGGCACCTTGTCCCATCCCTCCAAAATCACCGTCATCAATGCAGTCAAGACGGTTGTCACCGGTGCAGCAACCACAAGTATCAGTTGAAAGGGTTGCACTTGGATTGACACAGGTTGTGGCCCCTGCACGGCACACATACACTCCCACTACATCGTCCATAATATCACAATCGAACTCCAAAGCTTGCTGGGTAGAACAGACTTGGCTTGTGCGACGGCGTAGAAGCTCAGCGTTGGTTCCAACAACCAAGAGAACATTGACAGCAGCTGCAACTGTTGTTGCAGCAGAGATTTTCATGATTGCTTCGTACTGAAGGATAAGTTTGTTTTAAGGTTTGTTGCGTTGGTTAGGATCGCGAAGTTTTTGGAATTGTGAGACAATCAATCATTGATCCAAATCTAGCCGTTGTCAAAATTGCCATCATCGATCAAACTCGGGTGGAACGATCGAACTGACGTCTGATCGTGCACAATCAATCAACTTGGCTATCGTGCCAAGGGAAGAGTTTTCACTGCTCGCAGCTAATGGCAGCTCATTTAGTTGGAGGTTGCTTCAGTGAATGATCAAGTGCCCCCCGTAATGGTCCTCAATTTCTTGCCCCTGATCCCTCAGAACCTAGTCCTGAATTTCGACTGTTCTTTGCTTAAGCCTGGCCCCGGCTGGCTTCCATAGATAATTTCCCTACTCTAAAAACCCCTTGTATACTAGTTTCCACGCCATGGTTTACGAGCTTCGCGGAAGATCTTGTCACAGCCATCACGATGACGTCATGCGCAGGCAACCCAACCCAAACCAGCCCACCGACATCAGCTCTCGTCAAAGGACCAATGCTGCCTCGAAACTTATCTTTCCGCTATCCTGCGGATGTCTGCGAATAAACGACACGATGCCATGACCAGGTAATCAAGGGCTGCTTCTACGTTCAGGAGACTCCAGGTGCCAGCTCCTGACATCGACCTGATTGTTCTAGCTACCTGCTACCTAGTTTAGAAAGAGTTGGCCTACCAGTACACCAAGTGATCTGCCACTGAGCCGTATGGAATTCTGCTTTCCTGTTGCTGGTGAGAGCCGTCACAGCCAAAGATTCGCTTTCTCGATGGAAATCGCTACAAGCCACGTTTATGTCTTTATGGTTGTGTTCTAGCATGAGGCATTATTCGTCTTGCCCAAGACCCGACGACCCTGGGAAGGCTTGGGTGTGCGGGCTCTTTTTAGTTTGAACCACTCGGTATCCCGGTGCGACTGTATATCACATGAAAGAAGAAGCAAGTCCTGGAGGATGAAGAATTGAAGCCTGTGGAGAAGAAGGTGGCCTTAGGCTATTGGTTGGTACTGCAGTGCCAACTAATTAAGTGCACTCTAGTCTACTAGTAGAGAAGCACAGCTGTTTGCTGCAACCAACGAAGCGCTGCAATTTGTTGTCCCGTTGTTGTTGTTTGATTCAGGAGCTTTATTCTTTCTTCTTCGTTGCCCTTGAGGCATCGATCTGATGATTTGGTGCCAACACCAGGAGAATGTCAGGATGGTACCCACTCAAGGACAAGAGCAACAATGCAGGACCATAAAACATCCATGTCAAACTGCTCGTTACAACATAGAACGGAGCATCTGTTGTAGTCGGGTCTTGACTCAACAGCAAATTGCCTGTGACCGTATGATCACAGATGAAAAACATGGTCATTCCGACCGCTGTCATTTGGGCATTCCACAGAGGAAATTTCCCAATCAGACAAGCGGCATAGTTCTCATGACTGACAAGTGAATGTGCTTTGTGGCAGTTTGAGACAGTGCTGCCAATTAGGACCCAGCATTCAGATTGTTCATTTATACATATATGAAGTTTCTTCATCTATCTTTCATGACAGGCATCTTAGAGAGCTCGAAACTAGCTAGCCACATAGCATGTTCTACTGGTCCAACACAATACAGACACCATACATATGAGCAAAGCAGTTCCACCCCAAGACCGCTTACATGTATCTCTCCTTTTCCCCCCAACAACAATAGAATATGACAGGACCCACCTGGGTGGGTCCTAAGACCACGAACGGGCCGATATGGGGCTCCAAAGATCTAAAGTTCGGTAATTCAGTCCGTTTTTTTCTTAATGCTGGGGGATGGAACTTTAGTGAGTGTTGACTGTACACGGCTACATGTACAAAAACTGCAGCGATTTCTTCGAGAAGTTTCAATAAGCCTTTACTACTGGTAGCTAGAGTACCTGGTACATAGTATGCTACCGTACAGTACCAGCAGTGACAGGGGGTAGAGAGCACTACATACAGCCTGTGCATATGAACAGGGAGGATGCCCCCAGATTGATTTTTTTGGCCTGAATTCAAAAACGTCCAATTTCCTGTGCAATCGAACAGGATAGCGACGCCTGTTCATATGTACAGGAGGCTGTACATACCAGGAGCTCGACGTCCTGTTCAAATGCACAGGAATTGTGACGTTTTTTTCTGGGTAGGCTTTTACAGTAACACATAGATCTGCCATTACGTTCAGCATTACAGTCAAGCATGTCCTCTGCAAAGAATAGATGGTTGCAACTTCCTGTGTTTTCCTCTTCTCAGATAATGAAAAAGAAATCAGGAGAAATGAAGTCCAAATCTCTCAGTGACAAACCCAAAGCCACAAGCCACAAATGAATGCAAGAGCCAGATATTTTCTGTGGTAGTAGTGGTGGTAGTAGTAGTGAAAGGATCAGTTGTTCTTGTTCTTATGCTTAATAAGCTCCTGTGCAATTGTACAGGATTGACGCATCCTGTTCAATTGCACAGGAATTGCGTCAATCCTGTACAATTGCACAGGAATCGCGTCCGTCCTGTACAATTGCACAGGAATCACGTCGCCTGTTCAATTGCACAGGAATCGCGTCGCCTGTCAGACCAAAATTTGACTGCAGGCTGGCTCTCTAAAAATCCTGTTCATATGCACAGGCTGTATGTAGTGCTCTCTACCCCCTGCTGTGACGTGAAGACCATAACCTGGTACCACCAGTAACTGCTCCAGAGGACAGTACTGGAGTACCATAGGAAATGGGAAGTACATGTACTAAAACTAAGAACTCATCAGAGTTGCCTGGTTACGCATTCGGAATTCGGAGTATCCATTCGGCCTCTCAACCGTCCCCCCCCCCCTCCTGGTTGCACAACGTCCGTCACATTTTCCTGCAGAAGGCTGCCATCGATCTGGTGATCTCGATCCCTCATCCCAGCGAATTAATCGCTTTACCCCCCGTCGAGCACATCGCTTTACCCTCGTCTAGTGTTGTTAAATCCTTTAGATGCGTCTAGTAGTGTAACAACGTAACAACACCGATGATGGATAGCTCGATAGAAGTAATGTAGCAGCTGAAGTTAGTGATGGGCACCCCTTTGATACACCCATTGATACATACGTATAATACACGTATAATACATGGTCCCCAACTTCAATACATACGTATTATACGTATTTAACTACTACTGCTAATTTTGGAGGTCTTAGCTATCCAGTTTACCCTCCCAAGGCCCACTAGACTTGGCTACAGATGCTGCATCATCCTCATCAAGGCCTAGATCCTCATCAAGGCCTAGATCTACCAAGAACTGGTCTAAATCAGCAGTAAGAGCTCTGCAAAAGCTGCCATCGACTGATTCCCAGATGGTTCAAGAGACTTTGAAAGCCTCAAGTTGACATAGCAATAGAGCAGCATCTTCACAATCTTGTTGATGAGACTATTTCGAACCGTAGAATGCACAATATAATGTGCATGGGCAGACGGACAGACCATAGGTTAATACAGTATTATACAGTATTATACGTATTATACGTATCAAAACTTAAAATACGTGTATTTGCCCATCACTAGCTGAAGTAGCTCGCCTTTTTAGTTCAATGAGTTCCCTTGACCCTCCAATACATACATGACGAGGTAGGGATGGTAACATGGTAACCTGGTGCCGCTCGTTGCGGCCACCATTATTTACTGTATGATAATGCTTGGAGGTCTCTTTTAAACCTTTTCACATCGATTTGTTAAATCTCTGATGGATCATGGTAAATTCTTTATAAAGTCCTTGCGGCCTTGAGGGCTTCGCATCGACAATTCAATTCACTGGTCAAAACGAGTACACTGTACCGGTAGTCGCTGGCTCATTGTACGTGATATTGCTGCTTCTTGCATGTAATACGTAATACATGTACCGGTATTGCTTCAGCTATTGCTTCCTGCTTCTACAAGAATGAACCCATAGAAACAATGGATCGTCTGGAAGAATCTTCTTCAGAACCCTTGGAACGTCACTCGTCGCTCGATTGTGCTGAGCATTCACAAGCTCGCTCCTTCCACATGATCCTATTCTCACTCCGTACTTCACCGCTTCTTGCATCTATTTATTGCTTCATTGCTTCCTGCATAGCTTTGGCACCAGAGCTGTGCTGCGACCATCAATCTCTGCTGCTTTTGTGGTTGTGTTTTTTCTCATTCCTTGTAGTCCTCATAATTTCTTCTCCCAAATACTGCTAGCTGGTTGAAAGGCAACCCCAAAATGACGAAAGGCAACCAGCAAGATGATGACACCCACAACAGCGCGAGCCAGGGCACAGCCGAGGACGAGAGCATTTCCGATACTGAAAACAGAGAGATATTGGATGCCATTGTGAAACAGTACGCAGCTGAAGGCAGGGACATTGCCAACCCTATTGTTACTCCTCCATTGGGAAGGGAAACCGAGAAGACATCGATACAAGGGCAGTCCGAAGAGGAAGTCCAAAGTGAAGCTACGGATATCGGGAACCTGTACTCAGCTCAAGGCCAAGAAATGAAACTGCACAGAGACCACAAGAAGGGAACGACTACTGGCAGAACCCTTTCAGAAGGACAGTCAGGAGAAATTGATCCCCAGAAGAAAGGAGACAGATTGAACCCTGCTGGTATCCAGCGACATCATTCAGCAGAAGGGATAGATGCTGCTTTGTGTGAAGCAGCAAATGTCATTCCTCCACCACCTGCTGATGATGACGTCCCTGGACCAAATGACGAAGACGACTATCAAGTACCCGGTGCTTATGCTGTGGCGCCGGCTCCTTCTGGCAATCAAGAACTGGAGAGAGATATGGAAGCCTTGATGCCAGAACATGCTCCCACAAACAATGTCCAAGATAGCAATGAAGGCTTGGCAGTGGCAAATCCTGTGGAAAGTACTGAAGACTTGCCGCACGCAGATGAGCATCATGAACCTGCCATTGATAGAACGAGCGAAAGAGCCACTGAACGGACTATGTTTCTACTTGGAATAGGTGTGTTTGTTGTTGCAATCATTGTGCTTGCAGTGATTGTATCACAGAGTCGAAAAGCAGATGCAGAAGCTACATTGACTGTGCCTCCCTCACAGGTCAACCCCACAGCTCCATCTTTTTCACCAACATCATTTCTGCAGGGATACGTTTTTGGGATCTTGCCTGATTAGACGATTGGTGCACTTGACGAGCTAGAGTCTCCACAGTCGAAAGCGTTCACATGGCTTTTGGAAGATCTCAGCCTCACCAGCTACTATGTTGAGCAAGAATGGAGAGTTCTCCAAAGGTTTGCATTGGCAACACTATACTATTCAACTGGTGGTCCCTACTGGACCAAAAATGACAACTGGTTGTCACACGTTCATCATGAATGCACCTGGTATGGAAGTGATCCCCTACCCAATGCCTTACCCATTGGGACTGGATCTCAGTACTTTGCTGTTGAGCATCCAAACCCATGTCAACTATTGAACTCCACAGCCATTCACCATGAACCACAAGGCAATGTCATGCAAGATGCTGATATAGAGAAGGATGCATACCAGCAGCTTTGGCTGCACAGAAACAATTTGACGGGTCAATTTCCAAAAGAAATGTTCTTGCTGACATCCTTGAAGACCATGAGCTTCTTTGGGAGCCCGATTGGCGGCACCTTACCTCCACAGATTGGAAATCTTCAGGACTTGCAGGCAGCCATTATTAGCATGCTGCCTCTCACTGGCTCTTTGCCAAGTGAGATTGGCATGCTAAGCAATCTAGCATTTGCAATCATGGACAGAAACCGACTTACAGGATCATTCCCTGTGGAGATTGGGATGCTGACAAACCTGGAGTTCCTGACCATTGATGGGAATCAAATCTCAGGAACATTGCCTCATCAGATCTCCAGGCTTAGCAAATTGGAAACGCTCTATTTGGGGTCAAATTCTCTCTCTGGCACCATTCCAACGGAAATAGGACAGCTCACATCTTTGGGAGCATTTCCAGTCAACAACAATGCCCTCACAGGAACTGTAAGTATCATGAAGGTGCTACCAAACACAATCACTGGGAATGAAAAACTCTGCAGAAACGCCCTTTTTGAGTCCGCAGAAACACTTTTTTTCCTGAAGCAGGCTGGCGTGCACTCTGCAGAAGCCCTCGAACTCTGCAGTTCCGAAAGCCGGCATGGCTTTTTCTGCCGGGAGGTGTTTTTTTCTGCCGGGAGGTGGTTTTTTTTCTGCCGGGAGGGTGTTTGTCTCTGGCAGATGACTTTTTTTCTGCCAAAAGCACCTGAAAACTGCACAGAATGGCTCGCAGAGTCGATTCATTGTTTGGCAGAAGGATTTTCTGGAGCAATTATCGTTTGCAGCTTGACAATTACTTAGAGATGATACCAGCAGGCGTGACGAAAACTAGAGCAAATAAATAGCCAGTTCTTTTTGAAATCTCAGCTGCGATGACATCATTGCATTTAATGCCAGGCACCTTTGGACCTAAGCCCTACGTCTCTCCTGCAAAACGAGAACCCCATTAACTGTCTCATTAACCCAGACTCTAAAACGAGACCCCATTATGATGTCGAGGAATACATTAACCCACACTCTAAATCAAATGAATTCAACCTATTCGATTAAGATGACTCAGTCCACCAACACCAGCATATTTCAAAAGCACGAGTCACAGTGTGACGTGGCCCTGTTGACTCGAAGAACATCCTGTCAGGTTCAAATCCCACAAGGAACTGGGAATGAAAATAACTGCCCAAGAGAGTCGTGCTTATTCACACATCTATAAACCGTTGCAAAAAGGAGCAGTTTAGGGGGGTTGGGGGATAAAATAGAGGATTCTACGGGAATTTACTACTATTTGTGGAAAAGAATCGTAGGTGGGTAATATTTAAGGTCAATGTGTGGGTAAATACCTGGTTTTCTTGGGCTTTTGGGGTAGAATGGAGGTGGCCCGGGGGACGGGGTGATGGGAAAAACAGAGAGGGCTTCATGTTCACAAATAAAGAAGGTTGAAGGGGGGGGGGGCTGTAGTATCAATGACCCGGAAGAGCTCGAACGTGCTTTCGAATCCAAGGACGGCCACTTTTTTCGAAATGTCCTTGCCTCCGCTTCAAGGTCGGCCACGTTTGTGTGTCATCAAAAGAGTCATCAACTGGGAACATGACAAAATTCCAAATCTCTTCACTAGCTGCATCACCCTCCTTAAAATGGTCTCTTTTCCAACCTACGATAGATTTAATTACATCGATGCTCCCTCCCTGATCATACTTTGCAACATCTCCTACCAGCAATCTTTGGCTTTCTTTTTGGGACGCTTGCTGACCTCATGAGTTTCTTGAATGTAATCCAAAGGAGTTTGAAGGTGAGGTCCTCTGTAGTTCTGACGTCTGTGTAATCTCACTGAGGATTCAATCCGACGTTATCATCATCATGTCCGTAGTACCCAAAGCTAACACAATGCTCTTTCAAACCAACACGTCTTCAATCTCTACATCTGACCAACCGACAATTCCTCCTCCATCGAACTCCCTCTGCGCCCTGGAATGACTCGTTGTAGCAAAGAACAATAGTGTGATGGGACGAGTAGTATACTCCTGCTCTTTTTCTCTACGTGTCTCGTGTCATTACCTCCACTGGTTTCTTCGGTTTTTTCTGGAGAAGGTGAATGCATAGCAAACAATAAAAGATGTCTTAGCTACAAGCCTCATTCATATCATTTTGCTGGGAACAGTACATTTTTGATGTACCTTTGATTACTTGGTAGCTACATTCTTATTGCTCGGGTTATCTGAACCCATTCCCTTCGGGATTGCCCTCGTGTCGCCTTCTCCTTCGCTCTGCTTGCTCATCATCCATGGTCAATGTGGTTGGTTGTTGGCTATCTATCAGTCCGGATGGACTGGGGAGAGCCTCACAACGCTTGATCTGAGCATGACCCAGAAGGAGATGTGAAGTCTAGGTCAGGATTGAAACCTTAACCTGGACTGAAAGCTTATTCTGACGTAAACCGGTAGTGGTGGCGTGAAGTGGGCTGGTGTTGGATGAGAGGAACGAGCTTATACAAATTTAAACATGTTGTTGGTGATCTTTGTGGATATAGACATATGATATAATATAGCAAAACGACAAGATGAATTAGCACTTGCTTGCCTATGGTATATTCTTTGGTTATTGGTGCTTCAGGCTCAATCCAATGCCAATCTGAGGGTTGGAAGCCCACACGGCTACATTCTGACAGAGTTCTGATGTTCTGATCTATTGCTGCTTAATAAGGTCTTGTGTGAACCTCTTCTAGCTGTTTTGCTCTGCGTAGCTGAGTGCTTCTGACTGCATGACAGTATCTCTCTGACCGGACATATCCCTTCGGGTATTGCCTCCGGTCGCTCTTCTCCTTCGTTCGTGCTCATCATCCCTGAAGTGGTCATGTGGTTGGTTGTTGGCTATATCTCAGTCCGGATGGACTTGGGGAGAGCCTCACGACACGCTTGAGCTGGAGCATGACGCAGAAGGAGATGTGAAGTCGAGGTCAGGATTGAAACCTTAACCTGGACTGAAAGCTTATTCTGACCACCACACAAAACACCACACAAGTGGAGCGAACCCTGAAGGCGTAAGGTGCCCACTGAGGAGAGGAGCCTGATTGTGTGACGGGGTGTACGGATTAGGAGAAGAAGAGGAAGAGAAAAGTGGAGGTAAATGAGATTGAGGTCCTTATTTCGAGGCCTTAAGGGTGCATGGTGAGCCCGGTATATGAGATGCGGTGTTGTATAATCAGCGGATGGTCTCGATGATTGATTTTTTTTAAGAAATCCGTGGGAGCCCGATCTAATGGTGTAGCTCGTAGATGCGTGGTAGTATGCATGATTGCGGAAGTGATAGATGACATAATAAAAGGGGATCAACCAGGTGGAGGCCGATCAATAGTGTTGGAGAGAGTCTCT